GTGCTGAGATAATAGGCGGGAGCCACCGAGCCGGGCCCCACCCTATTTTAGATTACAGCTCCACACACTCCCCATTGCCCTCCCAGCCTCATTCTTCACCCTACACTGGCACCACAGCCCCCCACACTTACTGTGTCACCTGGCTGTGGTGGCCTCCCCCTGTGCAAAGTTTGGCTCCATGATCCCAGATTGCCTGGACCGTCCTGGTTTTAGCGCTGATGTCCTGCTCCAAGACACTCCTTAGTGTCAGGCAGCCCCAGACTTGGTTCCCAGCTGCAGGCCTGGGGATTTTTGCCAGTGTTTGTTCCTGGCACTGGGTCGGTGCCCAGAGCCCACTTGGCTGTGTGTGATGAGTGAATGAGGCCGGTGGGCATCCAAGGCTCACCCGCATTACACTGTGGTGCAGACGTAAGCAGGGCTGTGCACCGGTGCAGGTGCCCCTGCCTGCCCCTACTGCACCCCACTTTCTGGGGTCCGAGGTCCTCAGCACTTTTCTGCTGGCAGGTGTGGGGGCGGGTTTCCGGCGGGGGTGGTGGAGGGAGGGCAGCGTCCCTGACCGAGGTGGTGGGTGTGCCAGGCTGTGGGCGCCCCCTGTCGACTGCTGGGGCAGCTGATCCAGCTCAGCACTGGCCCCGAGCGCCACTGCCACTTGTTGGCAGCACGTGTGTGCCCTCCAGCAGGTGGCTCCCCTGTCTGCGAGGGACGGTGGGACAGCTGAGATCTGAACACAGTCTCTCAAGAGTCACAAAAGACTCAGTTTCTCCCATCTGTGGGAGGGCCAGGGCTACAGCGAAGGCTTGAGGGAGCTCACACGTGGTCAGGTAGGAGCTCAGCCCCATGACCCTGTGCTGGCAAGTCCTCCCCGGCCCCACCTCCAGGCCAGCCAGGATTCCCAGAGTAGCCCTGGGTCAGAGCAGGGGTCTTCGTGCATCACAGGGAGCACCCCTGGCTGGTCCAGGAGTTAGGTGCAGGAACCTGGGGCGGGGGCTGCCCTGCTGAGCCGCGACATTTGTCTCCTGGCTAGGGGTGGACAGGGGTCTCTAGAGGAGACATGGAGAGTGCAGAGTGGCAGCCTGTGCTGCCCACCCTCCCACCACCCAGCGCCCCTGATCTCCAGGTTAGGGAAGGCAGCTGGGTGAGTGGCAGCCCATGCTGCCCCCCCCCCCACCACCCCACACCCCTGAAATCCAGGTTAGGGAGGGCAGCTGGGTGAGTGGCAGCCTGCATCCCCTTGTGCCCCTGACCTCCAGGTTAGGGAGGGGCAGCTGGGGCACCCTCCCCATGCCCCCCACTGGCCTCCCTGCCCCTGGTGTCCAAATCCAGGTTCTCAAGCCCCTCACCCAGCCTGGCCTCTGCATCCCAGGGCATTCCCACTACTGCTCCTTTATGGGGACACTTGGATGGGAATGTCTGGTCACACTATGTGACACTGACCTTAGCTGACCCCAAATCCACTCCTGGAGACCCTGCCCCTCTCCTAGCTGAGTCCCAAGGTGCTCCGTACCCTCCACATGCCCATGGGGGCAGGTACTGGGCCGGTGTTTACTGAGGGGAGAGGACTTACTGGCCCCCCAGTCCCTTCTCCAGTGTGTGGGGCATAGCAGCCTCCATTGCAGGAGGGAAAAGGCGGCCCAGCGGCCGGTGGCCGGGTGGAAGAGGGCAGCCTGGGCTGGACAGCAGTGGGAGTGTCTGTTCGGCCGGGCACATGGCCCTGCACAGCACTCACCTGAGACAATGACCAGGCTCCGGAAGACGGCTCAGCGGGGGAGCCTGGTGGCGACAGGACCCACACGGGAGTTCTTCAAGGGCTGACCCCACGGCCCACTGCACAGACCACTGCTGGGGACCCCTGGCTGGGGCCTGGATGTGCCACTTGAAACGTCTGAGAACCGCCCATCCCAGCACGGGGCCCCCAGGCAGGCAGCCTCTGAGGCCACAGAAGTGGCAGAATCTTGCTGCGTAAGTGGGGCTGGGATCTGGGGAAGCTGAGACCCTCTGGAGGGGTCTGGGCAGGGCAGGTGCTGCAGTGAAGTTCAGCACTCAGAGGTGCACAGACAGGAGAGGTGACTCCGGCCCCGGGGGGCACTCTGGGCAAAAGCTGGGGTGATCCTTGACCTGTAGGGCTATCCTGGGGTGTCCCTTATCCTGTGCTGAGGTGTGGGATCCAAGAAGAGACAGGACACTGAAGGACTGGAAAAGAGCATCTGGACTCGGGGGCCATGCCTCTTATGAGTGGAGGCAGGCGAGGCCCTGAATGTCCAGAAGCGTCTGTATGTATTAGGTACAAGCAGGGGGCAGGGTCACGAGGTCACCTATAGGCTTAGTGATAGGGCGTACATAATCATGTGACTCACAGGTAAGGGGCCACCCCATTAAGTCACCTGGGCAGAGGTGGGCCATGCGCAGTAGGGGGCCGTGCCGTGCACAGTAGTAGAGGGTCGTGTACAGAAAAGGGGTCCACCCCCATTAGATCACCAAGGCAAGGAGGTGGCTGTGTGCAACAGGTGTCATGAGCAACACTTCTTATCTGCGGGCTGGAGACTTCAAAGTGTTTCTAAGAGAAGGATACTGTAAGCCAATGTAGTGGGAGCTGACAGACATGTGCTCTTCTCTTAAGATATTTATGGGAGGATGATTTGAGCTAACACAGAAGTGAGAAAAGACTGACAGGGCGTACAGCTGCCGTGACTGGCCACACCAGAGGGGTTCTTCTCCCGCGGTTACTTCCAGGATCTCAGGCCCGAGCCCTACTTTCCAGAGGAACTGGATGCAAGGTACTACAGCTCCTTTCTCAGGAGGAGCGGCTCTTGCTCCAAGCCTGCCATACGGCGTATGTCTTTCAGGCAGGGATGCCACCGCCTGGGTCTTTGGTTCTCGTCCTGGTCTGGCTGTTTTCCCATGTACTGCTTCTGTTCTGTGACTGCTCTAGGCATTCCTCCTACTACAGACTACTATATGTTTATATAGAAGGATCATATAAGTCAACAGTAAATAAATGTGTTGTACAGCTGACTACAATACCTGCATGATTATATAGAAAGACTATATGGAACTAAGTATGCTAGATATAAGTATGATTATATAAGCTAGATATATGTAAGCAGTAAGTTATACTTCAGGCACTAATTCTATAAACTAATATATGATTATGAAGGATTATATAAAGGAAATAGCTGAGTAATAACACTATAAACTAAGATTTCTTCAGGCACGAATTGTGCCTGGGTTTGCACAGCTCTCCTTCCTCAGTGCCCGTATTGGGGGTTACCCACGTTGAGCACCTTGGGCCTGGTCAACTACAGAAAGTAGGGGGGTTGCATTCTGCACCCCGGAGCACTGGGGAGGCTCTAGGCCAGGCGTCCCCAAACTACGGCCCACAGGCCGCAGATGGCCCCCTGAGGCCATTTATCCGGCCCCCCGCCACACTTCAGGAAGGGGCACCTCTTTCATTGGTGGTCAGTGAGAGGAGCGCAGTATGTGGCAGCCCTCCAACGGTCTGAGGGACAGTGAACTGGCCCCCTGTGTAAAAAGTTTGGGGACGCCTGCTCTAGGCAGCTGCCAGGCCTCCAGGACCTTGATTTCAGGGCCAGGGACCGTGGCCATGACCATGAGTTTTCTGAGAGGGAGGCTGGGGTCCAGCATGGCAGGGCTAGCACCTTGGCCATCTGGGGAAGGGGCAGCCCACCCAGGTCCTGCTGTTCCCATGGGACTCAGGAAAGGGCTGAAGGTCTTCTATGTGACCCGGAGCCCCTGTGAGCTGCAGCCCCAGGACAGCCAGCAGGTGTGTGGGCCCCATGGTCAGGTGAGACCACCCGCACTCTGACGGGGCCTGGCTCAGCTGTCCAGGGCTGCGCCTTGGCCTCCTGCCCCCCAGCAGTATGGCGCTGGCAGCTACTTGTTCGTGAGGAGATTCCTGGCCTCAGGCTGTGGTCCCAGGGTGCAGCTGGAAAGAGATGTGGGGCACCCCCCCCAACCCTGTCCACACTGTGGGAAGCTGAGATAATGTGGGGGAAGGGGAGGGGCTGCCCAGTCCTGGAGGGCAGTGGCTGTGGACGTCAGCCTCCTGGCTGTAGGGACCCTCAGCACACAAGTGAAGGAGGGCTCCACCCTGACCCCGAGAGCAGCACGTGTGCCTCCCAGGTCTGCCAGGATCCCCCACTTGAGCCAGGCCCAGCCCTTCTGCTGCCTCAAGGGCTGGTCTCTGGGACCGTGGACTTCCCAGCGTGGCACAGGCACTCCACAGTGGCTGGTCCAGCCCCAGGGACACTTGACCAGCCGGGGGCCATCACCTCTTTGGTCTGCGATCTGCTGGAGGTGATCTTTGCTGGGGAGGGGGACCCAGGCTTGGCCAAAAAGTCCTGCTGGGAGAAGGGGGAGATACAGGTGTGCGGGTCCTGCCATGGCCCTGGGCATGTCCTGGGGCAGCAGGCTGCAGGTTGCCCTGAAATGGCTGTGGCTCAGCTGAGCTGAGGGGACATTCCAGAGACCTCTGCCTGGCCGGCTGGTGCTCCCTGGAAAGGGTCTCCAGGGGCCCTGGGTGCCCAGCTGTCCTATCCACCCCAGCCCACCCCTCCCACCTCTGTGGCTCTTGCAGTTCATCCCACCTGAAGCTAGGGGAGCTCTTGAGCTCACAGGGACTGGGGGCAGGTGGCAGTGCCAGCTCTGACACTTCCTGGACTCCAAGGCAGAGCCAGGCTCCTGACCACACCCAGGACACACGTGCTTAGTTCTGTCCACTGGGCAGAGTCCTGTCCCAATGTGCCCTGGGTCCTGGGAGCCTGGGCCTCGGTGGCTGGTGGGCTGAGGGACATCCCAAGTCGCTCACCCTTGGAATCAGAGTTCTGATTAGGTGAGGTGGACCCCCAGGGAACAGGAGGCCCGGCCAGTGATGGAGTGAGGCCAGGGAGGGCGTTCAGGAGGCCAGCGGTACGTGGTAGAGGGAACTTCAAGGCTGGAGGGCAGTGGTGGGCATAGGCCTCGGCTTGGTGCAAAAGCCTGACTTAGGGCCGGATGGTCTCCCCATCCTCCCCACCCAGTCTCCTGCTCAGCGCACGCCATGCCCAGCCCGCCGAGGGAGGCCGGGAGTGCCTGAGTCCAGTCTTCGGCCCCCTGCGGCCCCTGAAAGCGGGGCACCCCCTGGCGTGGAGGTTGCAGAGCTGCTGTGGGACGGAGAAGTGCACATCGGTCCTCCAGCCCTGCAGGCATAAGGCAGCTCTTCAACACGGCCTCCTGCTTCCCCGAGGTATGGAGGGTGGGAAATGTGGGTGTGTGTGAACTGAGGTCCTGCAGTGGAGTAGATGGGTAGGGGCTGGATACAGCAGTGACACCCACCTGGATGCAGATGCCTGGGGCACAGGCCTCCTCCCTGGGAAGGTCCAGGAAGGCAATGGCAGGGGCAGCTTCCAGGTCAGCCTGGGTCGGGGAGGGCAGGTCACAGGCAATGGGAGGAAGAGCAGACCAGGAGCCTGTCCTTATCCCATATTCTCTCAGCACCCACAAAGAAGGTCTCCCACCCCTCCCTGCCAACTAGGCTAGCCCCCAGATGGGCTCAGGGCCTAGATGGGGTAGAGGTCCCCCAGGGAAGTGATGGAGTCCTGACACCCACCCCCACCTCCCCAGGATAGAGCCCCACCCGCCCGGCTCACTGAGGCTGGAGGAAGTGGGCTGGCCTGGAGTGCAGGTTGACAGGCTGGGAGCTGTGACCTCCTTCTGTGACACAGGTGCACCTGGAAGTAGGCGGGGCTGGACGAGAAGAAGGTGGCCCGGAGGTGGCCCTGCCTGGGTGAAGGCTGGATGGTCATCTTCCAGGCTGCGGGGAGTGAAGGGTGAGACCCCATCTGGCCCAGCACCTACCGCCTCCCTTCCTTCCCCGGTGGGCCGGGCACCCACCCACTGTACCTTCCCCTCCCACTGGGCCCCGCACTGGCCCCGAACCCTGTGGTCCCACCTCCCCGTCCAACACAGAGTGAAGTGAAGGGTGTTCCACGCCACATCCACGCTGCACAGGCCCCATGGAGAACTTACTTGGGAAGCGATGCTGTTTGAAAGGGCACCGCACCCAGGAACCCCAGCTGGTGGAGAACTGCAAAACGGGGTGAGGAGTGTGGGTGGGTAAAGAGTGTGCAGGGAGACAGGCTGGGTCAACTTCAGGGTGCTCTGGGCTCAGTTCTCCTTCTTGGGTCTTAACTCACCCACTGTCAGACCAGGAGGGGGCTCTGAGGGACTGCCTAGAGGCTGGGTAAGGGCCCCCTGCCCCACTCCCTGCCCTGATGCCCTGGCCCATCCCCAAGCAGGGCACTGGCAGGCTGCAGCAACCCCTCACCTTCAGGCAGAGCTGGGGCTGGGTGTCCACCAGCAGGTACTGCACCTGAGGAGGGCTCAGGTCAGGCTGTGGCATCCACGCCCACCCCCATCCCCACTGTGCGGGCACTCACTCTGCGATGCGCCAGCTGGCTGGAGTGCTGCAGCTTATGGCAGCTGTCCCCGGGCCCCGGGCACCAGCACAGGCTCACTTGGCCACTCACAGGGCAGGCGGGCTCCCAGCTCAGTGTCTGGCTCCCGGGGTGGTAGTGGACTGTGTCCCACAGCATCTCCAGGGCCCGAGTGTCTGCAGGAACCCTCCCCCAAACACAGGTCAGTTGGGCCCTACTCTGGCTGCGAGTGGGCCCATGGGGTCACCCACTGCAGTGACCACTGGGCCAGGGTCCAGAGCAGTCCTCCTATGGTCTATGAGCTTGGACCCAAGTCTGTGCACATGTGTGCATGGGTGTGTTTGCCTGTGCATGGATTCGCCTGCCTATGCAGTGTATGGGTGTGTATGTGCATTAGTGCATGTGTGTGTGCATGGGTGCATGTCCGTGGGAATGGGTGTGCATGTGCACATGTATGGGTGTGCACGTGTGTGTGTGTGTGTGTGTACAGAGTCACTGAGCAGAACCGAGAGCAGGGTAGCCCTCAGACAGCCCCTCTTGACAAACTTGGTTTTCCCAGGTGAGCTGGTCCACGTGTGCACACATGTACATTGCACGCACTTGCACACACACCCTTGTGCACATCCACATCCGTGCTCAGGTTCCCTTAATGACAGGCCCTTCCAAGCAGGCTCAGGGGTTTAGGCCGGGCCTGCCCCTTGTCTCATCCCCCAACATCATGCCTCATGGTGGGGTCAGACTGACCGAAGTCATTCCCACCCTTCCGCCCTTTGGCATCGCACGACACTTGCCGTTTTCAAAGGGGCAGATCTGGGTCCGCACGGCGTCAGGGGTCGCAGACCAGCCCTGCTGGAGGGTCTGGGGTCAGGACAGCCCGCTCATCCCTTTGTTCCTCTACACACCCCGAAGTCCAGGCCACACCTCCACCGACCTCCAGGCACAGGCATGGCAGCTCCTGGCTGTAGGGCAGGGAGACGGCCCGGGAGACGCTACTCGCATTCACCTGCAGCGCAGAAGGACTGCTGAGCCGCCGCGCGGGCTGGCGGGGCGCTCTGGGGTGGGAGGGGCCTGGGCCAAACGGGGCGGGGCGCTGCGCGACCGGGGTTCAGCGGGGCCAGGGCCTAGCCGTGGGTGGGGGCGCTCACTAGCACTGGGGCGCCCGCGTCCTTGCAGGTGAACAGCTTGAGGCAGAGCCGCACGAAGTAGTCGGGGCTTCCTGAGGCCCGGGGCACCTGCACCAGAATCGCCTTGCGCCTCCGGTCCACCCAGTAGCTGAGCTGCCCGGCTGCAGGAGGGCGGCAAGTCGGGGTCGTGCTCTGTCCCGAGAGCCCCGACGTGACGGCTCCCGCTTGGTTCAGGCGTTTGGGAGTCGTCCACCTGAGGACCCTTTAGGATCTCCCAAGTGGGCAGAAGACCCCAGGGAGAGGAAGCCTGTCGTAGCGTCCGGGCGTCTTCCCAGGGGCGTCGAACTGGGGAACTCACCGAGGCAGTCGGGCACGCTCCTTCCCACGTCCTCCTCTCCGCAGCCTGCAAAACCCAGAGGCAATGGCGGGGTGCGGGCTGCTCGGCTCGCTCCCCACCCCCCCCCCCCGCCCCGCCCCGTGCCTCTGCAATACGACCTCGACCTCGACCTTGAATTAAGCCGAAGGCCTTGCCGGGATTTGCCCTGCATGAGGTCCAGGCCCCTGCCCTGGGCAAGTCCCACCCCAGGCCAGGCCCTGGAGGGTGAACGGCAGCTGTGCCCAGGGAGGCCCTGGGGATTCTACCTTCCACGAGGTGGCTCTGGTCCAGCTGGACCCCGCAGAAATGAGGGATGGTTCTCAGGGTGACATAGAGGCGCTGGGCCACGCTCACCTCAAAGCAGCCAAAATGCACCTGGAGCTGAGCAGGTGCAGGTGTGAGCTGCGTGGACCCACTGGCACTGCCCACCCAACCCAGCCAGTTCCACTTGCATGGCTCGAGCCCAGGGCAAGGGATGGCACCCAGGAGGAGGGGCACCCAGTCTTTGGGACTTGGGTGGCAGAGCCCCGGGATGGGCTGCCACGTCAGAGCCTGGCCCTGGCCTCACCTGCTGCCCGGCCTGCTGCCGGTGGGAGGCCCTGGCCACCCACACGCTCTGACATTGCGTCTCCTGGGTGTCCAGGCTTGTGATGCAGGTCTCCAGGCCCCGCAGGCGCTCTGGGTGGAGGAGGGACCCATGGGGTGTGTCAAAGCAGGCCACCCCTGGCTCTGGATGTGGCATGGGACCCCGTTCCTCCACCTTCTCTCTGTGAAGTGCAGTGAGCAACGCCCCCTCCCCCACCAGGCCGCCCAGGGTTTGATGGGTATAAAAGGCACCTGGGCCCACCCTCGAGGCCGCCTCTCACCATGCAGGGTGATGGAGGCGCGTACACGCAGGAGCAGTGAGCAGCCGTTAGGGGTGAAGCACTGCATGGCAGTGGAGGGGGTCAGGGCCTCCAGGACCGACATGGACATGGACACGGGGCGTGGCTGGCAGAAGCTGTTAAAAATGTTCCCTGGGGAGGGAGAAGGAGCATGAGGCCTTGAGTTCCCGGTGCTTGGAAAGGCTTTGTGGGTGGGTCTGTGAAGGGGGAGAGCCCGGGGGCTGCAAAGTCTTCTGCTAGGGGGTCTTTACTATCTCACCCCAAGCCAACTCAGGAGCAAGGCCCCTGGCATGTGGGGAGCCCACCTGAGACACTCAAGTGTCGGTGGTACCCGGGTGGGCCTGGGTCAGGGGAGCAGACTGCATGCCAGTCTGCATCAGAGCAGCGAAATTTGCGGCCCCACCTGGCCAGCAAGGGGGCATGGGGCCTACCCCCTTGCCCCCAGGGCCTTTGGCTTTGAGACCAAACGCCATTGCTGGCAGTCTCAGCACCTGGGCAAGGTGGAGCTGGGGTATCATTTTGGGCGCTGGGGGCTGAGCAATTTTGCTGCCTTTACTCAGCCTGGTTTGCAGGTAGGATTCAGAGCAGAACTTCACGCGAGCCACGGAGCCTGGCAACCCTGCCATCCCACAGGAGGACTGCCACCTTCTTTACAGAAGGCATGGCCACGGAGGCATGGGACCCACACGCTGTGGGTGAGACAGTGCAGCTGCTGCTCAGCGGATCCCGCACTGAACGCAGCACGCTGCTGAGGCAGGAGAGTAAGGAATGAGGGTAACCAGGGACCGAGGGAGAAGCAAAAGGGCAGCAGGTGCAGCCAGTCCCAGCCTCCATCCCGTGATAATGAGACGCTCCACTTCAGCCTCTGACGGGTTGCAGGCCAGTTCTCCATAGGGTGTAACCCACTGCAGGGTTCTAACTGCAAGCAACGGTTTCAAGACATGAGGAAGTGAAACACGGTGAGTCCTGGGAAATGGGGGAACATCCGGAGAGCTCTGTGAATGCCCCACTATCTTGGGGGTGTTCCCAGGCAGTGGTGAGGGTGGTGTCCCATGTGGAGCTTGGCACACTCCCTGAGCTGAGGCGCTGGATGGAGCACCCTGGCAGCGGGGGCTTCCTGACCGAGTATGAGAGGGGAGAGGATTCTGGCGAATATTCGCTTTGCGGATACTTGGAGTATTCATGAACATGTGCGTGTGACGGAACCACCAGAAGCGGAGAAAGCACCACCCAGAAAAATTTGAGGGAGTGGGTCAGGCACGGTGACTCAGGCCTATAATCCCAGCACTGTGGGAGGCTGAGGTGGGAAGACAACTGAGATCAGGAGTTCAAGACCAGCCTGTCCAACACGGTGAAATCCCATCTCTACTAAAAGTACAAAAATTAGCTGGCATGGTGGTGGGTGCCCGTAATCCCAGATACTCAGGAGGCTGAGGCAGGAGAATCACTTGAACCCAGGAGGTGGAGGTTGCAGTGAGCAGAGATCACTTCATTGCACTCCAGCCTGGGCAACAGAGCAAGACTCCAAAAAAAAAAAAAAAAAAAAAAAGCCAGGTGAGGTGGCTCATGCCTGTAATCCCAGCATTTTGGGAGGCTGAGGCAGGCAGGTCACAAGGTCAAGAGACCAAGACCAGCCTGGCCAACATGGTGAAGCCCTGTCTCTACAAAGAATACAACAATTAGCTGGGCGTGGTGGCAGGTGCCTGTAGTCCCAGCTACTTGGGAGGCTGAGACAGGAGAATTGCTTGAACCCAGGAGGCAGAGGCTGCAGTGAGCCGAGATCACACCACTGCACTCCAACCTGGTGACAGGTGTGAGTCCGTCTCAAAAAAAATTTAAAGAATTTGAAGGAGTGTATCTTGGGCTCACATAGGCTTGGGACTAGCCCCTGTTCGCAGCCAGACTGAGAACCTCATGACTCAAAGCGCACTGGGTACAGCACATAGAAGAGGCTGTCTCATTAGAAGGGGAGAATTAATCTTAGACTGAGCATTGCTCTGGTGCTTTCTAACAAATCGAAAAAGCAAGACCAATAAGACTAAGTTGTCTCCAAGAAACTTAACTGTATGCCAGGAAGAGGCTCAAGAATATTTGTGGGAATAAAGAAAATGTTGTTTTTCCTCTCAGCACACAACAGGGTAAAATTCACAATGTCTGACATCCAGTAAAAAATTACAAGCCATGCAAAGAATTGGGGAAAAAACAACCCTAATTTGGAGAAAAATCAATTAAAACTAACAAAAGTTTGTTTGTTTTGAGACAGGGTCTCACTTTTGTCACTCAGGCTAGAGTACGCAATCTCAGCTCACTGCAACCTCTGCCTCCTGAGCTCAAGTCTTTCTCCCTCCACAGGTGTGCACCACCACACTCAGCTAATATTAGTATTTTTTATAGAGACCAAGATTTCACCATGTTGTCCAGGCTGCTCTCGAATGCCTGGGCTCAAGGGATCTACCCACCTCAACCTCCCAAAGTGCCGGGATTACAGGTGTGAGCTATTGCATCTGGCCAAAGGGATCTACCCACCTCGACCTCTCAAAGTGCCGGGATTACAGGTGTGAGCTATTGCATCTGACCAAAGGGATCTACCCAGCTCGACCTCCCAAAGTGCTGGGATTACAGGTGTGAGCTATTGCATCTGGGATCTACCCACCTCGACCTCGAAAAGTGCTGGGATTACCGGTGTGAGCTATTGCATCTGGTCAAAACTAACACAATATTCATACACAAAATTAATAGAAAAGAGGCCAGGGATGGTGGCTCATGCCTGTAATCCCAGTAGTTTAGGAGGCCAAAACACGCAGATCACTTGAGGTCAGGAGATTGAGACCAGCCTGGCCAACATGGTGAAACCCCATTTCTACCAAATATATAAAAATTAGCTGGGCATGGTGGTGCATGCCTGTAATCCCAGCTACTCAGGAGGCTGAGGCAGGAGAATTGCTTGAACCCAGCAGGTGGAGGTTGCAGTGAGCTGAAATCATGCCACTGCACTCCAGCCTGGGTGACAGAAGGAGACTCTGGCTCAAAAAAAAAAAAAAAAGGTAGGCACATTAATACAATTGTTACTGTATTCCATACATTCAAAAGTTAATTATAGACATAGGATACATATTTAAAAAAATCCAAATCCAACTTCTAGAACTGAAAACTACAATGTCTGACTGAAAAATACATCAGATAGTATTAGCAGCAGATTAGACACTGCAGAGGTGGGGGTGGGGGGAGAGGGAGAGATGCTGGGGTACACAGCAATAGAAACTATCCAAAAAGAAGCAGAGAAATCATGGTGATGGTGACGACAATGATGAACAAAGCATCAGTGGCCTGTGGGACGACCACAAGTGACCTCATATATGTATAACTGGAGTCCCTAAAGGAAAGGAAGAAATTTTTTAAACTCAGCTTTGCACAGTGGCAGTATTGTAGCCAGTGAGGTTTATCCAAGGTGCGATTATTGCTAATTGAAAACTTTTCCCAATACCCCACCATGATGACTCAAAATATAGTCGGCATTGGCAATTTTTGACAGTCTCTATGGAGACTAAATTTTTAAAAAATGTGCAGAAGGAGAAGCTGCTCACTGTAAAATAAAATGTATGAAATAAGAACGGGCTCTTGTCCCAACTATGCTGACAAAATGAAGAGGAGGGTGTGTAGGGGGAAGGGTGGGTGAAGCAGAAACACACAAACAATGTGTGGCACTGAACAGAATTCACTGTTACTGCGTGGAAATAACCGTGAAACTAAAATTCATCATAAACACTTAGAAATAAATATGTTTTGCCTTACCCAAATTAAGGCACACAGGTAACACCCACGGAGTCCTCCTGAAAGAGGGCCTAACAGATGTGCTCACTTCAGGAGGAAGAAGGGGGCTCAATAGGAACAAATGGGTTACAAAAGCAGCCACAAGCATGGGGACTGGGAAAACGTGGTGGGGAATTGGGAATTCAAACTGGTGTTGACAGAGGAGGCGGCTGAGGACCACTCTGTGTTTAAAAACACTCTGGGGCTGGGCAAGGTGGTTCACACCTGTGATCCCAGCACTGTGGGAGGCCGAGGGTGGGTGGATCACCTGAGGTCAGGAGTTTGAGACCAGCCTGGCAAACATGGTGAAACCCCATCTCTACTAAAAATACAAAGATTAGCAATGTTTCTCGAGGTGAATACTGTTTATGTCTACATGGAGGCTTTCCAGTGAGTGTTAACTTTCTTCCTTATACCGTCTGCGTCACTCAGTGTCCTTTTATAAATATATATGCTGTTTACAAAGACAACCAAGGTATTTGTGCAAAGGCCAGGTGGGATCACTTTACAGAGGGTAAAGGTTGGCTAGACGACAGGGGGATTTCCACCCGCCGCTGGTGGGATGTCAGCTGGGCCAGGGTTTGGAACACAGCGAGGTATTGTGAGTGAAATGGAGGCGCGGGACTCTATCTGCAGCTGACCCATTTCTGGGCAGGAGCCAGGGTGACCTTGCCTGGGTGTGTCCAGGACCCCACACCCATCGGTGAGTGATGGCAGCTCGCCCTGCTTGGAAGGGGAACCCCGGCTGCTGGGGACAATGCAAGGCAGACCTGCCTCCCACGGTGGACAGAGCGGCCCTGGGGGCCTGGGTGGACCTGGGTCTACTGAGAGGGACACGGGGGAGTGCAGGCCCTGATCGTCCCCGGGCTGAGATGTACTCACGGTTCCCGTGGCTCCTGCAGGCGAAGCCCTGGAGACAGAACAGTGAGAGGGTGAGTGGCTGCGGGCACCCCTCCCCAGCCTGTCCTGCTCCTGCCCTGGCCCTCACTCCCGGAGTCCTGGGCTGCCCTCAGTCCTGGCTCCTCCTCAGTGTTAGGGGACTGTCCCAGGGCTGGCACACGGCGATCACTCAGTAAACAATGTGGTCTGAGTCCCTTCGGACCCTCAGCCCTGGCTCCCCCACCCACTTGTGCATTTGTTAAGTGGACACTGGTGGAGCACCCCCGACGTGGCAGGCTTGCTTAGGTGCTGGGATTAACGAACAGAGGAAAACAGTGAACCCTCCCTGCCTCTAGAGGAGCTCGCATTCCAAGAAGGGGGAGACAGAACGATCCGAAACCTGGGAAATCAGCAACTTACACTTGATGTAACTAACGAGAGAGGTGGGAAAAGAACAGAGGGCTCCAGAGGAGCTAGAGGGGTCTGGAGAGTCAGGGGGTGCTGGATAGAAATCTAAGAGGTTCCTGGGGGGCTCGTAGAGGTCAATTTCTGAGAAGAAACTTCTATTCTATTAGAAGGAACTGAGGCACTGGAAGGAACTGAGGCTGAGCTGGTGGTGGGGGCACCGTGCGGCTGGGTGAACAGGCCCTGACGGTCCTGGTGAAAGCTACAGTCCTGATGTATTATCACCCTCAGCCCAACCTGACCAAGGGTGCCCAAAGAAGGGCATGAGGAGGGCTTGTGGCTCCCACGGGTTAGAAGGGTCTGTGGGACAGGCTGCTCCCCAGTGGCCTGTGAGGCAGGAAGCACCCCACACCCCTGCAACAATGGCATGGGAGCTGAGGTTGGGGAGCACAGGGTGGCACTGGTGCCGTCAGAGCAGGGCAGGACCCCGGAGTCCAGGCCCCAGCACCCTCAGAGCAGGGCGGGACCCCAGAGTCCAGGCCCCAGCACCCTCAGAGCAGGGCGGGACCCCGGAGTCCAGGCCCCAGCACCCTCAGAGCAGGGCGGGACCCCGGAGTCCAGGCCCCAGCACCCTCAGAGCAGGGTGTGACCCCGGAGTCCAGGCCCCAGCACCCTCAGAGCAGGGCAGGACCCCGGAGTCCAGGCCACGGTGCTGGGGTGCTGGACTGTGCAGCCCCTGGTCAACACGGTGCTCCATTCTTGAAAAGAGCTGACCCTCCATGGACTGGAGGAGCCCAGACTGTTGGGGTGGGGTGGGGGGGAGCTCAAGATGGAGAGCTGGACTTCTGATGCTGGCCCAGGTGGGAACATGGAAAAGCAAACGTCGGGCCCACTTCTGTTCCTTGAGAACAAGGAACAGCTGGGGCTGTTCCTTGAATTGTGAAGCCGTTATGGCCAGTGGCTACATCTCCCACCTCTTTCTAAATACTTTTTATTTTGGAAAGTGTTTAGATGATGACCAGAGTTCACCCAGTTTCCCCAAACCTCAACAGTTTCGGGGGCATTTGCAAAACCTGGGGAGCCACACGTGGGTGGCAGTTAGTGACCCTCAGCCTGCATGTGGAATGGTGGATCCTAATGAAATGTTTTCTGTTCTAGGCTCCAGCCCAGGACCCCACCCTAAGATGGCCTCGGAGTCGTCATTCTCCCCACTGTCTCCACCCATTTGCAGACCACCCCGATGACTCCCCAGAGAGAGACCGCCATGCGGGACCCTCCTCCGCCTGCAATGGCCGTAAAACTGGTTGCCTGGGGGTGGAGGGAGGCTGGACGGGGCGGCCGGATGGAAGCCCAGCTTCGGCCCCTGGTGAGGAGCAGGGCCTCAAAGAGGGGCTGGCGGAGCTGACTGCAGGTGGCCAAGGGCTCGGCCAGGCAAAAGGGGCTGGGCTTACCTGGGCAGCCTCTGGGGATTGATCCCAGCAGGCTCAGGAGCAGGGTGGGGCAGGGTGGGGTGGGGATGGGAGGGGGGCAGGTGGGGGCAGGGTGGGGCGGTGATGGGAGGGGGCAGGTGGGGGCAGTCCAGACCAGCCTGGGCACCGGAGGAGCTGCAGAGGCAGTGTGGGAGGCCCAGTGAGGCCCCCGTGTGGAACTACGGGGGGCAGTGGCAGGTCCCCACCCTCCCTCCTACCAGGTACCCTGAAGCCCCTCTGGGTGCCCTCTGTGGCCTAGACTCCCTGTCTCCAATCAGGGAGAGAAAGAACCCCTGCTGGGAGCTTGGAGGCTGGGGCGGGCTGGAGATGGGAAGGGGGTCAGCTCTTTCTCCTGACTTCCTGGACTCTGAGCCCAGTGCCAGTGCTGAAGCCCACCCAGGGCTGGCCGTGTGGCCCCGTGTGTCTGGGGCTGCAGGAGAGGCCGCTGTCAGGGGCGAGGGACGTCCATGAGGTTCTGCCCGTCCCCCATGGGGCACAGGAAGCCAGACCTGGGCGCACTGTGGGGTCAGGGGAAGTGGGGCTGAGCCTAGGCCTGGGCGCGCTGTGGGGGATGTGGGGGGAGCTGGGGCTGAGCCTGGCCCTGGGTGAACTGCGAGGGATGTGGGGGGAGCTGGGGCTGAGCCTGGGCCCTGGGCGCGCTGTGGGGGATGTGGGGGGAGCTGGGGCTGAGCCTGGCCCTGGGTGAACTGCGAGGGATGTGGGGGGAGCTGGGGCTGAGACTGGGCCCTGGGTGTCTCCCAGCTACGGGGTTTTCCGTCGTGCTTCTCGGGGCTTCCCAGCTGCCAAGCGGCGGGGGTGTCTGTTGGGAACCCCCAGGGTGGCTTCTCTTGGCCCCCATGTGGTCCCCGCACCCTGAGGTCCCCAGCATCGGGCCCAGCCTCCCACCCCCACCCGAGCAGGTTCCCCCAGGCCGGCTTTAGCCCGGCCTCCTGTCCCAGGCTTCCCCCCGCCCACCCCGACAGGGGCTCCCATGCCCCCTTGCATCCACCGCCTGGCCTAAGGCTGCTCCGGGCAGCGCCCCTATACCCACCTCCGGATTCCCACTCCTCTCACCCCTCGACCCCTCCTGGTCAGCCCTCCCCACCCATCTTCCATGAGACCCTCCTCAGCCCTGCGAACCCCTCCTCTCCCCTCCCCTGCAGCTTTTCTCCTCCTTCCTCGCCTCTTCCACCTGCCTCAGCCCCTGTCCCTTTCCTTGCAGTAGGGAGGGCTCAGTCCTGGTCCCCACCCGCTCCCCAGGGTCACCCTACCCGTAGCAATGTGGGACAGCCCTATCACTCCCCTGGCACCGGGAGGTACACCCCGCAGCCACCTCCGCAAAGTTCTCCAGCTCACATTTCAAGGCTGCCTCCTCCAGGTCTCCCAACTCAGGAACCATTTCCTCCATCCACCGACAGGCAAAAGTCGCCTGAGTCTCAACTCTCACTTCTCCCTCTCCGCAGCCAGGACCCCCAGTCCTGTCCCTCCCTGTTTTCCATCTCCCCTGCAGAAGGGAATCCAGCTAACACCTTTCGCACCTGAATTCCCCGTCTCGCCTGCTCCCACCGGCCCCCATGCATCCCAGCCTGCTTTCTTCCTTGTGCCACAAATGCTCCGTGAATCTGAGCCTGCCTGTGGCACCCACACCCCCTGCCCCCTCCCCTCCCTGAGCCCGCTGCTGGACCCATTTCAGGCCCTGTGGAGCTGCTGGGTGTCCTGAGTCCCCTGAGGTGACCAGGCCACCGCCCTAAAGGCACATCTTGCTGTCTGCTGTCCCCATGCCAGGAACGGTGCACCCAGCAGGTCCTCAGTGAGTTCCCCCTTCCCAGGACCCCCTCCGGGCTCTTTCCACACCTGTGTCCCTACTGTGCCTCAGCCAGCCTTGGGCACCAGCACCCCTTCCTGGGACGGCTGGCACACTTCTTGCTGCAGGTGATGAAACACCCTCTCTTGCAAGGCTGAGTCAGCCGGCTCTGCAGCAGGAGCACCCCTCCACCTTACCCCCCAGGCACCTCCACTGCCAGCATCTCACTCTCGGGATGTTCCCCGTTCCCCAAGTGTCTCCTTGGCAGGTGTCTACCCAGGCCTGTGTGCTGCCGCTGGCTCCCGATGGCTCAGAGCAGCCTGGGGGGTGGGGTGGGGAGCCCGGGATGGGCTTGCGCGCTGCTCTAGATTCTAACACCCTCCTTGGAGGTCACAGGTGGGTCGGAGGTGGGCTCACCCTGCCTTGAGCTTCCAGCAAACACTTCCCAGAGCAGTTCGGCAGGGTCAGGCCAGGTCTCCCAGCCTCCTTTCACCAGCGCCACCAGGGGCCCCCAGGCCCCTGCAACCCCTCACTTGTCCCTGTCCATGTGCTGAGAGCATCAGGCCACACCCACCCGAGGAGAAACCAGGGCCTCATCTGCCACAGTGTAGGTGCCTAGGAGGAGGCGGGAGCTTACCTGAGAACAGGAGAGGCCACATTCCGCAATCCTGGGGATGGCCAGGCTCTGGAAGGTGCCCCAGGTCAGGCCGAGGAACGCAAGTACTTGCCCAGCCAGCATCTGGCTATGCAGTGACAGCTCCCACTGGAGACTGTGGACGTGAGTGGGGCAAGTTTGCAGGGTGCCCTGTGGCAGCGGCTCCCAGCTGACCCTGCAGCTCCAGCCCCAAAGACAAACAGAGGAGAGAAGGCCACTCCTCACAGCAGGAGCAAGCGGACACGCCCCTCCTGGCAAAACAGGGCTCCCTTTGCGGACAGCAGCCCGGAGACTTTCCACCACCTGGAGCCGTGAGACTGTGGCCAGACACTTGTGGAGTTTCTAAGTTTCCGAAGGAAGCATCCGGAAACCTTGAGGTCTTTGAAGTCCCAAAACACCCTAATGGGGTTCCCCACGGGGCGGCCACTGGAGCAGAGATAGCTCCAGGCCAGCGGGATCAAGGCATCGCCTGTGCGCACCCCCTTCAGGCGTGAGGCCAGGACAGTAGACAAGGGCCCTGGAAAGCTGGCTGGGCTGGCAAAGGGGGGGCAGAATCTGTCCTGGGCACTGGTACCCCAGAGCCCCTGGCTTCAGCCCCGGCCTCTAAGGGAGAACCCTCTCCTGGGACCCGAGACTCCACCCAAGTCCTCAGCCCTTGCCTCCCCTCCAGATTCGAGAGGCCACCGCCCCTGCTCGGTCCTCACTATGAGGTCCCCCACTCCAGAGGGCCGCCCCCAAGGCTGGGAACTCTGGGGCTCGGCTTCTGCTCAGGCAGTTGTTCTGAGTCCTCTTGTCTGGAGCACCCAATGCGTAGGATAGTTTTTGGGCAGAAACTCACTGCTTCCCATTTGCCTCCAGCCAGGGCAGGGGGTTGGAGAGAACCAGGGTGTGGTTCTGGGCGACCTGGCTCTTCTCTTCCTGGACAGGCCCAGAGTCCCTGTGTCTAGCCCAATCTCTATGTCTCGGCAGCACAGAAGCTCCTGCCTCTGTTCCTGGGAAGGCACTGCCTCACGTGTGTGTGTGTGCGTGCACCTGTGTGTTCGTGTGTGCACACGTGTGTGTGTGTGTGTGTGTGTGGTAGGGGATGGAGGGAGTGTATAACTGGGGTGTTCTGCCTGGAATACTCACAGGACACCCCCAGTGTGGAGAGTGGCACCACACCCAGACTGGGAGAGGCCATGGGCCTCACACCGTGGGCTCGGAGAGCGTCAGGAGGGAGCTTGGGAAGCAAGCTCTGGGGCTGGGTCCCAGGGAAGGGAAGGTGGCAGGGGCCTGCCATAGCTATGAACTCCTCGCACCCTTCTGCCACCGCCCACTGCCCACCTCCCTGCCTCCTGGGCCAGCACCTCGGCCCTGCCCCCACCTCCATGGGCTGGAACTTACGCAGTCACTGCTGGGCAGAGTCCGTGGGGCTGAACACCCCCTGCCCGCAGTGTGCCTGTGGCCATGGCTCCTTGCAGAGTGCCCGGTGCTGGCCTCCATGCCACAGCGTGGTCAGCAGGCAGGTACGTTTGGGGGTGGCCCAGAACGGTCTCTGTCACCCACTGTCCCATGCTGGCTGGGCTGTAAATACTGCAGCTGGGCCTTGCCCGTCAGCCTGGCATCCAGCCCTCCTTATACCAGGGGGCTGCTGAGCCATGACAGGTGTCCCAGGTGACGTCCATGGGTATGGCCAGCAGGATCCTTGAGAAAGGACAAACGTCCCTCCCGCCCCGGGCCCCTCACACCTGAACCTCTCTGTCTCCAGGCCTCACTGGGACAGGCCCCCACCATGACACCCAGTTGCCTGAAGGTGTCCTCCTAGCACCATGACGCAGGCAGGGGCTGCAGGCAGCCAGTAGCCAGTGACCTCTTTTGGGGACGGCCCATGGGTTGTGGCTGGTGCTGGTCCCAAGGCCCAGGAAGGATGGTGAAGTCAGGCCCTTGCCCCGGCCCGGCCTCCCTCTCCAACCCGAGAACGGGGGCTCTGGCGCTGGCTCTGAGGGCTGAGGGATTGGCACTAGATGGGAGGAAACGCGGGTTGGGAGAGCCTGGGCGGCACCAAGACTTGGACAAACGCGGGACGAACGCATCAGCGTCCGCCTGGGACCCTCCGGCTGGTGCCTTCCCCAGGGTGGCTTGGAGGGGCTGGGGCGGGCGCGAGGCACCCCGGAAAAGCGGCGAGGACGCGGGTTCTCGGCCTCAGCTCCGCGCAGGTTTCTACGGACACGCGCCTGGCTCCGGGCCGTCGTCCTGGTCCCCGCGTGGGTCCAGACTCACGGGGTCCGCGGGCTGCAGCTCCGCCCGCCCAGCGGCACGAAGGACGCGCCCTGCAGGACCGCGACGCGGAGCGAGCTGGGTGTCGGGGGGTGAGGCTGTGGCCCGAGGCGGACGAGGCAAGGCGGCGCTTGGGGGTCCGTCTGCAGCCCTGGGGACAGAGGGGTGCTGAGACCGCGGGCGTTGGCCCGGCCCTGCATCTAGCCACGCCTCTCTCCGCGCGACTGCCCCCGCCCCCCGGGAGCGCTGGGACCCTTCATCCCAACAGCGCCTTCCTCCACCCTAAGTCGTGCCCCGAGCCCTCCCCAACCACCCACCACCGCTCATCCAGCCCCATGACGTCCCACACCCGCGGGACCTCTGGACGGAGCCCAGGACGCTGCGCTCACGCCCGGTGACCCTCACGCCAGGCCACAGACCCCTGAGGCCTACGTCCTCCCCCATCCCAGCCCACCCCCACCCGCGCCCCTGGCCTCATCCCCGCGACCGTGGGTCACTCAGTCCACACCCACCAACAGGCGACGCCCACGCCCCTCAAGGCCACGCCTCCATCTCACCACCGGCCAGAGCAGCCCAGCGGAAAGTCCAGCCCCAGATGGCTCCCAACTCGCTCCTGCATGGAGCCCACCTGCTTCCCCCAGCTTTCAGAAAACCAAGACTTCCACATAAACGCCGGCCGGGCAGGCGCGGTGGCTCACGCCTGTAATCCCAGCACTTTGGGAGGCTGAGGCGGGCAGATCACCAGGTCACAAGTTCAAGACCAGCCTGGCCAGCATGGTGTAACCCCGTCTCTACTAAATATGCCAGAAATTAGCCGGGTAGTGGTAGGCGCTTGTAGTCCCAGCTACTCAGGAGGCGGAGGCAGGAGAATCGCTTGAACTCCAGAAGCAGAAGCGGCAGTCAGCTGAGATCACACCATTGCACTCCAGCCTGGGCAATAAGAGCAAAACTACTTCTCAAATAAAAATAAAAAACGTGGGCAGGGGGTCGGGGGGGGCATCGTGTCTCTGGGGTGAAGGATCTGTGGATGGGGAGATCCCCTTCCTCACCCTGCCTAACACCCCTACACCAGGCCCTTCACCCCAGAGGGGGAGTCCAGCTCTGCCTCTCAGCCGTCCTCGAGATGAGTCCTACCTAGAAGGACCCAACCAGCCGGGGGATTCGGAGAAGAGCAGCCCCCACCCCGACTCCTCCTGCGCTGCTGTGCCTGGGCTCAGGTTCAGATGCCTGGTGCTGAGCTGGGCCAGGACCAAGTGGGTGGTGGGCACAGGGCAGTGCCTGCAGATGAGGGCCAGCAGCTGGGGCAGCCCCCCAGAGTCCCAGGGCAGGTCAGTGACTGTACAGGTCAGTAGGGATGTGGGAGTGTCAAGGCTGAGGGTGTTCCTGTCCCCATGAGAGGCTGCAGCTGGTGCAGGCCATCTGGGCATGCTGGCACCTTAGAGCTGGGCCTGGGCTGGGGTTCCCGGTGGAGCTAGAAGACCTGCTGTCCACAGTCTGTGGTCAGACCTCACCAGGCCCCATGGGCTGTTCTGATGCCAGGAGCTGCTGGAGGGAGCAGTCCCCGCACCGGGCATCCCACGTGGTACCCGTGGTCTGAGTGGCGGCTGCAGCCCATGCCCTTTCCTGCATGGGCTCAGAGGTAGCAGCCGTGATGGGCAAGAGCAGGTAGGTGCTGTCCACTGTGGGGCCACTCCTCGAGGCCACCCCTGCATGGGAGCTGCTGCTTTTCAAGGACTTTCACACCGTTCCTCGGAGTGTCCCAGGACAGGCAAGGGTGGCACGTATGGTCACCATGCATCTTTTTCACAGAGGGGCTCTCTCAACCTGAGACGCAGGGGCCTTGTCCTGGCTCTCGATGGCCTCCAGGCACTGGCCTTGCCCTGAGGCTGTCTCGGGTCTCTGGCCAGCCTTCCTCAGTGGGGTGGGCCTGTGCCAGGCCCTGTCCCTCATGTCCTGGGACTAGGAGTCAACCTCAGGTTGTCCAGGCCAGGAAGGGTGAGGGGAAGCCCAGCCTGTACATTTGCTGCAGCTGTACCTGGTGGGGGAGGGACAGGAGTCCCGGTGGGGGGTAGGAATGTGGGGCAAAGGAGAGACTCCCCAGTTTTCCCAGCGTCCAGGGCTAAAGGTTCCCAAGCAGCCACAGCCTAGCCCAGAAGTGCTGGGGCACCCACTACCAACAGCAAACTTGGGGCCCCAGGCTGAGTCACTCTTCCTCGGGGTCTGTGTGGGGAGAGCCCCCAGTGCCTATGCAAAGCAGCCCGTATCTTCCGGGAACCTCAGGTGGAAGCTAAGCAGCGCCTGGGAACTGGGTCTCCTGGAAGGGCTGGGCCAGCCTGGCACATGAGACAGGCCAGGGCCTGCATGGCACAAGCAGGGCATGAGCGGCAGGAAGAACGAGGTGGGAGCAGCTCCCGCTCTTCGGGGCTCTTATCTCGGAGAGGAGATGCAGGAAGGCTGGGCTGAGGACTGGGAGGTCAAATCTGCAAGGGTGCTTCAGCACAGCAGGCCAGGAAGTTCTGTTGGGCAGGGCCCTGTCCCCACTCACCCAGGGCCTGCTGGGACCCACCAGCGTGCCCAGAAAGTGTGTGTCCAGTGAGTCAGGGCGGAGGCTGGGCCCGCCCTAAGCCAAGGAGAGGGGACTCGGTGTCTGTGGCCCTCCGTGTGTCTGTGCGTGATGAATGGAACATGCATGAGCTGGCTGAGCAGCTGGTGTGGGGCCCGGGCCCTGCTGAGGGAGGGGAGGTCCAGGACCGGGGCCCGAACCCTCTACGGAGACCGGGGCTGGAGCGAGAGTCACAGTGGGGCACCAGCAGGCTCCAGGGAGCCCATAGGGTGCACTCAGTAACAGGGGGTCTGGGACCCAGACCAGTCCTTCCAGGGAAAACCACCAAACAGGGGCGTAAGGTAGGAAAAGCATCATAAAAATGGGCAAAAGCAGCAGGCAAGATGGTAAGGGAAGAGGGGGTCAGGCCAGGGAAGGTGAGCCCGAGGAGAGGGCGCCCTGAAAGGTACCAGGCCCCAAAGTTCCTTCCTCTGATGCTTCACCACCAGGGCCACCCGGAGCTCTGGGTCCCAAGGCCCTGGAGTATGGGGACAGAAGACACCTCACACCCCCTACAAAATGGGAGCCCCAAACCACTGAGTGCAGGGTGAATCAAAAACAGCCGGGCGTGGTGCATGCCTGTGGTCCCGGGAGCTACTCGGGAGGCTGAAGTGGGAGGATCCCTTGAGCCTGAGAGTTGGTAGCTGCAGCGGAGGCTGTGGCTGCACCACTACCCTCCAGCCTGGGCGACAGAGTGAGAGATCCTGTCTCAAAAAAAGAAAAGAGATCAAATTATTTTATTAAAGAGTACAACTTCTAAAAATGAAAACTATGAGAAATTAAAACTTCAATGGGTTGGTAGCATCCTGAAATGAATGGGAAGGCAGGTGAGGAGACGTTTTTAGAATGCAGCATAGGCAGCCAAATAAATCAGAGAAGTGGGAGGTTAGGAGATACAGGGAAAGCGAGAAGGCTTAGCAAGCATTTAGTCTGCGTTCCAAAGGGAAGGGGACAGAACGGGGTGGGGGCAACATTTAAAGACATCGTGGCTGAGAGATTCCCATAACTGAATGATGCCATGGCACACAGCAAACACATTTAAATTCCAGGCTGAATAAATGAAAATCAAATTGAATACTCAGATATCATATTAAAGCAGTCTTAAAAGCCGGCAGATAGAACAGACAGCTCCCCTTGGAGTGATGGCAGGCTCTGCCGATTTTCCGAGAGCCATGGTAAAGACAAGACAGTGGAAGGACGAATTCAACGTTCGGAGGGAGAGCGGCTGCCACCTGGCCTCCTGCCGCAGAGCATCTGACTCTGTCACGAACCTGTGTGAAAAAGATGTTTATAGACCGAAAGCTCATCTGAGCGGTCCACCGCTGGTGCCTCCCTAAAGAACACTGTCTTGAGTGGACTGAACGTGGTTCAGAATGAATGTGATTGGAAGCCTGAGACTCTGGAAGAGTGAAGGGCAAAGAGGAATGTATGTGGATAAATCTAAAAACCCTGGCTGTGCAGGCAATGATGATAATCACACCCAGTAGACTGTTAAAAACATTATTAAACAGGCTGACAGCAATAGCGAAGTCAGAAGGCAGCAGGGGACGTCCCAGTTTCCAGGCTTCAAAGTTGATGTAGTCTCAGGTGGGTGTAAATGCGATTTCCTTCACTTTAGATTTTGGTAACTTAAACGTGCAAGGAGTGATTTGTAGGCAGTCGCTAAAAGACTAGAGAGTATGTAACCTCTAAACCAGGAGAAGGAAAAAACAAAATGAGAGAAGAAGCATCAATGAAAACTGTGACAAGAACAGAGAGAAAACAGGAACATAGAATGGACAAGATCAACAAAAACGGAATGAAATCAGATGGTGGGCACTGTGATCATCGGGCTCCAAGGTAGGATGCTCACCCCCAGGCACTCATGCATGTGTGCTCCCCTCCTGCCTGAATCAGGATTGGGGTGCGTGGCCCGTAGAATGTAGCAGCAGCAGGGGTATGTGATGTCTCAGGTGAAGTCATAAAGAGACCTCATGACTCTAGTGGTCTCTCTTGAATCACTCACTGGAGGAATCCAGCTGCCGTGTTGTGAGGACACTCAAGCAGCTGTGTGGAAGGTCCACGTGGGAGGGACTGATGGGGGGGGTGCACCATCAGGGAGGTGGGTCTCCAGCCTCAGGCAGACCTTGAGATGAGGCTACCTCAGTTGACACCGGGACTGAGCCTCAGGAGCATTCCTGAAGCGGCACCATGCCGATGAGCCCTTCTCAGAGTCCTAAGCCACAGAAAACGTGGATGATAAATGTGCCCTTTGTCAGCAGCTCTGCTTTGCAGTGATTTCTTATGCAGAATCAATCACCACAGAATCCATGTACATGATTACATTAAATGTAAATGATAGGTGCGCTGATTAAAAGATAAAACATTGGCAATCTGGAATGTTATGCAGAGAAACATGTAAAACATAAGCTTATATAATGAAAGAAAAAATATACCAGGAAAATCCTCACCAAAATAAAATTAGTAACAATCTGAAATCTCTAAAGCAAGAACTGGCAGAATTCCATGCATCCCCAAGATTCTTATCATCCTTTGCTTAGTAACTGATAAAACAAGCACACACACACACACACACACACACACACACACACACCCCTAAGGAAATGAAGTATGTCAAAATCTGGCCCAATTCATACTTAATAATTTCAGAATTGCACAACATTATTGGCACTGAGAAACATTTGTAAAAATTGACCACCTAAAGCAACTGACAACCAATTTCTAAGATCATGGTCTCTAACCAAAATACAATTTAGCTTACAAGGAAAAGAAATAGCTAACTAGGCTAGGTGTGGTGGCTTACACACACCTGTAGTCCCAACACGCTGGGAGGCCAAGGCAGGTGGATTGTTTGAGCTTAGGAGTTTGAGACCAGCCTGGATTTTGCCTGGAACATGACAAAACCTCATCTCCACCAGAAAAAAAAAAAAAAAGCCAGATGTGGTGGTAAATGCCTGTGGTTCCAGCTACTGGAAATGCTGAGGCAGGAGATGGCTTGAGCCTTAGAGATGCTGGCTGCACTGAGCCAAAATCATGCCACGGAACTCCAGCTTGGGTGACAGAGCCAGATCCTGTCTCAGAAAAAAAAATAAAAAAATAAAAGTATAAAATCTGATGCTACTGCATTTCTAGGAAACTGATTTCTAAGTAACTGAGGGATTAAATAATTGTAATGAAAATGAGAAAATATTGAACTGAATAACAAAAATATAACATTTCAAAAAATTTTAGATTCCATTAAAACAGAAAATAAAGGGTCTCTGGTGACACTGATCAAGATGGGAGAGGGAGAGGAAGACACAGGTAATATTAGGAATAAAAATGAAGGCATCATCTAGTTCTGCAAAAAAAGATAACGAAGGAGCCCAGCACGGTGGCTCACGCCTGTAATCCTAGCACTTTGGGAAGCTGAGGAGGGAAGATCACTTGACGCCAGAAGTTTGAGACCAGCTTGGGCAACATAGTGAGACCCAGTTCCTTAAAAATAAAAAACGAAAATGAAGGAATGCAAGGTTAATTTCACAGTCAAATCAATCAATGTCATTCACCACATTAACAGAATAAAAGAAAACTGCCCAGTGAACTTGGGAGATGGGGCAGGAGGGTCCTGCAGGAGAACCCTGGCAGCATGGCTGGCATGTGGGGATAAAGGGCGGAGGAGACCTTTCCTCTCCACATGAGAATCTGGCACTGGGCTAAGTCTCCAGCTGCCTCCACTGATGACCCGGTAAGGGTAAACATCAACTCCTGTAGTCCGCAACACTGCTTACGGCAAATCTGCCCTGTGGCAGGCAGGCTACGTGGGGGCTGGAGACTCATCTGTGCCTGGTGGGACCCTCGTCCCTGGCCTTCCTGAGTGACCCCCACACCTGGGCGTGCACCCTGTGGGCCTGAGCCGTGGAGCTGCTGCAGGAGAGGCTTAGCCTCCTATGGGACAGGCGGCATCTCGGTGAGTGGAGTCCCAGCCCCTGAATCTCAGTGGGACTCGGGAGGCAGCAACACCTGCGTGCTGTCCTAGAGACCCCTCGTAAAGACCCCAGCACGCCCTCTTAAAGACCCCCATCACGCCCTCATAAAGACCCCACCATGCCCTCGTAAAGACCCCATCACGCCCTCGTAAACAGCCCACCACGCCCTCATAAATACCCTCGAGCAGGAGGAACAGGTGAAGCTGCCTGCTGGCCAGCCACGTCCCAGCCCCATATCCTTCTCAGCTACTCTGAGGCCAAGAGCAGCCAGTGGCAGCCCCTTAATTCTGAAGGTTTAGCCAAGGCTCAGAAGAGCCTGATAGGAGCCAGTGTGGTGGCTCCACCTGTAACCTCAGCCCCTCAGAGCCTTCAGAAAACCAGACGCAAAAGCTCAGTGGTCACTTTTGCCACCTCGCTTAGCCAGGGAGTTTGTGCTGTTCATGGAGCAGTTCGAGGCCGGAACTCAAATCCTCCCGACCCGCACCACACCCCAGAGGTATTGAGAAAGGCATCACCCGCCAGGTTCTACAGAGGGGACCCCACTATCCACCTGGCCAGCACTCCCACCCCCCTGACCCCCATGCGGGGCTGGAACAGGTGCGGCATGCCCCAAACCTGCTCCCAAGCTCATGCCCGCACCTCCGTCAGGGGCCACCCGGGCCCCAGCATCGAAGCCTGCTCTGTGCTCTGTCCTGGAGGGCACAGCGGCTGCTGGTGAGGGAGGGTTGGGGATGGAGCAGGCGGCCCCCACGGTCCCCGCATTACCTGGGGCTCCGGGTGGCGGACGCAGGGTGCTCTCCTCTGTCTTCAGGCCCTGCAGCACAGGCGCCAGGGGGTGCACATTAAAGAGGTTTGGATCTGAATATCTGGCCGGCTGGGCTTCAGGGTCACTGGTGTTCAGGGCCTGACTGTCCACGTGGCGGCAGAGGCAGGCAGGGAGCTCCGCCTTCCCAGCAGCCTTGGTGCGGGGGGGCTGCGTGGCTCTGCCGCTCTCGGCTGGCCTTTTTAGGGGTGCCAGCAAGGCCAGGGGGAGCCCCTTCTCATCCTTCAGTCCCAGGTCTCGCTGGCGAGCTGGTCGTGTGGGTCCCTGGGTGGGGTCCCGCATGGTGAGAGGGCACTGTGCTTTCAGCGGCTGTGCATCCCACAGCGAGGCTGAGGCCTTGAGGTTGCAGACGGGCAGCACCTGCCTCCTTGCCCTCCTCACGCCGATGCCCGCCACGCAGAGGTCAGACCCGCTGAATGGGGGCAGCTCGACCGCAGGCTGAGGGGGAAGGCACAGGTTGGGGGTGCTGGGATGTGGCCGGGATGGTGGAGTCCGTGCAGGAGGGGTCTGTGCAGGAGGGGTTGGTCGGGGCACAGACCCCCGCCTGACTCAGGAGTGAACACCTGGGGTTCCCTGCAGACCCTCAGGAGGCTCCCAGGCTCTGTAGAGCCTGAGGGGAGCTAAGGCTTCCTGAAGCTTGAGGGGCAATGTAGGGGGCTCCACACCCAAGGACTAGGCTGCCCTTTTCTCCAGCTTAGCCACAAGGAGGCCTCAAGAGAGAGGCAGCGGCCACACTTCCCGATGGCTCCAGCACATCTCCAGGCACAGGCCTCACCCCCCAGGAAGGTCTCAAGGGGAGAGAGAGGCCCCCAAAAGACCCTCGGAGTGGAATACACTGCAGGCCAAAGCGAAGGAGCAGCACGGTGGGCCTGGAGGCTGCCGGCATGGAGCCCCCACCTCCAACATCAGTCAGGGCTGGGTGGGGCTGGGAACGAGGGAGGAAAGCTGGATGGAGCTCAGAGCTGAGTGAGCAGGGCCGCCCTGCACACCCGGACGCCTGTAGCTGCCCCTTCCTCAGGGCCAATGAGGCACCGAGTCCCACAGGAGTGCAGGGCAGGCCCGGGTCACAGAGCAGGAGTCACGGAGCGGGATCAGCATCGTCCATGGACCCTCTGGGGCTGGTGGCCTGCAGCTCCACCATCACTGAGTAACCAGGTGGCAAAGCGTCTACACGGGGGGCTGCCACCAAACCCCCCAGAGGATGGCACCCACCACCCGGGCAGGGGCAGGCAAGGCTCACCTGCCTCCACAGGAGCTCGAAGTTGCCGATGTCACAGCTGCGGTCCACGGCCACCTTGATGGTGTCCTCCTGCACCTTCGCGCACAGCTGGGCCGTAACGGGCGTGGACGGGTGCATGGTGGGGCTGGAGTTGATCTCGATCAGCCAGGGCCTGAAGTCCCTCCCGAGCACAAAGTCGGCCCCGTAGAGCTCAAAGCTGTTCTTACGAGGCTCCACGTGATCCTGAGCCACCTTCATGACGTGGGCTATGGCTGCCTTCATGGACGGGTAGATGATGCTACCCCACATGGCACCGAGGCCCCGGCGCTGCAGGTACTCCTGGAACCTGGCGCTGGTCCACATGTTGTGTGCTGGCAGCAGAGGGCTGCGGCCCGCATCGTTCTTCAGGTGCTTCTGGACGGCATTGTTGCACAAGTGGATGGCGCTGCATGGGGTGGGGGGCAGGGGTCGAGCGGCAGGTGCTCAGCCTCCAGCTCAGGAAGGTGCCCAAGGCGGGTCCTCCCAGCCTACTCAGCTGGCTCTAGAGAATCTCGTCCCCAGGGACTCCCACGCCCTGCCAGAGGAGCCCAGGCCGGCTGGGGGGACTCCCCTGGCTCCCCAGCTGACACAGCCCAGGACAAACCTCAGTCCAGCGGGCAGATGCCCACCAGCCCAGGGCCCCCAACTAGGTGCTGCTGGCAAGTAAGAGCCTCCCTGCGCCTCAGTTTCCTCATCTGCATGTGGCCAGAGGGATGCTGGTGACACAGGGTGAGAAACGGTCACCTACCTAAAATTGTCAGCAATTTAGTTATACTCTTGCCCTATTTCTAAACAGGATTTAAAACTATCATGGTTTGGGAGATTGCACTATGCAATATGTACGTCAAAAGCATTTTCACTTCCATTGTGGGCGTGCTGGGTCAGGAATTTTCCACCTTGTTCGTTGGGGGCGGGGGGGGGAATGAGACCACCCATGACTGTATGTAAGTTATATTTCTACTGGGAAGTGGATGAAAAGAAAAAACATACAGGCACGTAGAAGAGCGTTTTGGCAAAAATAGCTTATCAGGGTTCCAACCTACAGTGCTAATGTTTAACCCCGTTCTTTAATTTTTGTCAGTACACGTCTGACCCGACATCAGGGACCCTCCCATCACTGGGATGCATGTTTATGTCCCAGATGGAGAAGCGGCTCGGAGAGGCCCTGAGATTGGCCAGGCACACGGCACACGGCACACGGCTCTCGGCTTTCGGCTCCAGGCCTGGGGACAGGGGCTGGAAGGAGCCATGGCTTCCCACTGCACGGGAGCTGCTTTTGTGCAGGTGAGTTCCTGGATCCCCTCCAGGCCCACTTGACCAGAAGCAGCGGGCAGATGAGAGTCAAGGCCCCAGGCTGGCTCCTCCCAGGCCCTCTTCTGGGTATGACTTCCAGCGCAACACCCAGCATGACGGCAGCCCCCAGCCTGGGACAGAGTTGAACCCCCTGCAAGGTCTCCGTTAAGTGACTCTTGGACCTCCCTGGATTCTCACTCCCTTGTAAAGCAGTCCCCACTCTTGCCCAGCCGTCAGGTCCCCCAGCCCCTCACACCAAGCGAGGGTCACACAACAGTCAAAGGAAGCCTTGGTGCCTGCAGACAGATGCTGGCAGACATCACTGCGTGGACAGCACACTCCCGAGGACACCATGGGCTCTTGTCATCCTGCCCATGAGGGACTGGGTGAGGCAGGGGTCTCTCCACCCTGGGCTCACAATGTCTGAGCCTCCACCAGGCACCCCACACATCACTTGCCCTGCACTGGGGTCCAGGTGCTGCCCACACCGTTCCGATACCCGCAGGCACAGGCAAAATGGTGCCTTTTAAGATTTTCCAGGGAAGACGCACAGCATGGGGTGTAGGGGGCTGGCTTTGAAGGCTGGTGGGCCTCAGCCTGTCCCAGGGGGAGGTCATCAGCCTCCCAAGCCTCAGTTTCCCCACCTGTGCCTCTCCTGGTGGCAGCTGGCAGTGAGGGGGCCCTGCCGGGGTCGTTTCTCACTGCAGCTGCTCCAGGGGTGAGGGCGGCAGCCCATTTCCTGGCCCAAGGTGTCCAGCTCGTCCTCCACACTGACCTGTCCAGCTTGTCCAGGGAGAAGCGCTGTGTTGAGAACCGCAGGTAACTCTCCTTGTAGAACCAGATGGTCAGGGGATTCCAGTCCGTGACAAGGAACCACTGCCTGATGTCAAACTTGGTGTCATAGATGAGCATTGGTGTCTCAATGTACTTCTGGACCACCCACTTGTTGTCCCTGGAAGGAGGGTGCTCTGCAGCCACCAGCTTGAGGATCTCCTCCACACGGTCCATGCACACTATGTCTGCAAGAGGCCACCAGTCAGCCCAGCCTGCACGGCCACTGTGCAGCTCCTGAGCCCAGGGGCAGGGCCGTAGCCTGGCCCCGAGACCTGCACTAGCTTTGTCTAGGGCCGGGGGGCAGGGAAGGCCCAGCGCTCACGGATGAGGTGGAAGCCAGTGCCAGTCTTCCCCAAGCTCTCCCCCAACAGAACCAGCCCCCAGGACTCCGAGGGGACACAGATCAGTGAAGGGGCAGGGACAGAGCCATTTTTAAAAGGGAGCCAGGAGGATGGGTGTGGTGGCGCACACCTGTAATCTCAGCACTCCGGAAGGCCAAGGTGGGTGGATCATTTGAGGTTGGGAGTTCCAGACCAGCCTGGCCAACGGGTAAAACCCCATCTCTACTAAAAATACAAAAATTCTTCTCCTGCCTCAGCCTCCCAAGTAGCTAGGATTACAGTGTGCATCACCTGATTTTGCCAAAACACGCCCAAAATTAGCTGGGCATGGTGGTGCACGCCTGCATTCCCAGCTACTCGGGAGGCTGAGGCAGAATTGCTTACACCCAGGAGGCGGAGGTGGCAGTGAGCTAAGATTGCACCACTGCACTCCAGCCTGGGACTCCATCTTGATAAGCAAATCAATAAAAGGGAGTCGGTATGCCCTAGACCACACTCTGGGGTTTGGTGTGAACAGGGAGCAGGGCATTCTAAGAACCTGAGAGCAGCCACCAAGATGGGCGGTGGGGTCTTGTGAGGGCTGTGAGGGGCAGCACTCGGGGTCTTGGAGTCCCGTGAGGGTAACACTAGGAAAGGCAGGGTGGGGGCCGCTGGTCCTCTTGTGCAGGTGGGTTTTCCAATTTCCCACTCTCACCCCCAAGTTAGACCACACAACTTGTGGAGACCAGCGGTATCTGTGCAGACGGCTGCAGCACTTCCTGCCAGCTGCTCTTTCTCTGCTGTAATAGCCTGAAGCCTCAAGGGAACTGGGGTCACAGGATGGGGGCTTTGATGGGAGGAGCATCCCTGCCGTGCCCCCACGCCAGCCCACGATGGACAACAGGCATGCATGAAAGAGGAGCTGCCCCGGATATATCTGCTACTGCTCGTTACGTGGCACCATTGGGTCTATTCTGACTGATACGGATTGCAGGGGAGCTCCATCTGCAGAGGCACAAAGCAGAACAAGCTGGAGGCAAGATTTCCCTGCAAAAATACCAGACTTTGCTTCTTCAGTTTTGGGAAGCTCAGACCTCGCCATCCTCAGATGAAGCTTGGGACACAGCCACAAACCAGTGACGTCACTCTGGGTCAGCACGTGCGGGCCCAACAGGACCAGGAGGGGCACAGCTAGTGACAGGCAGCATGAGGTGCATTTGGTTTGGAGCAGGTGGGTTTGGGGCATCCACCAAGCGTCCCTGGGGATGCAGGTGTCCACAGCGGGCGGAAAGTCTAGCCTGATGCACAGCGGCAGACAGGGTAGGTGAGTGCTTTGGACACAGCCTGGGGAGAGCACCCCACATGTGGCCAGGCAGGGTGGGCACTCATGGGAAGCCAGATGAAAGCCTGCAGGCTGCCAGGGGAGTGCGGACCACACACGCCCAGAAAAGGGCATGTGGCAGGACGAAAGAGGCTTTAGATTGAATTTAAGAAAATCACAACTTAATACTTTTTTGAGACGGAGTTCCACTCTTGTTTCCCAAGCTAGAGTGCAATGGCGTAATTTCGGCTCACGGCAACGTCCACCTCCAGGGTTCAAGCGATTCTCTGGCCTCAGTCACCCACCGCTATGCCCAGCTAATTTTGTATTTTTAGTAGAGACGGAGTTTCTCCATGTTGGTCAGGCTGGTCTCGAACTCCTGACCTCAGGTGATCCACCCTCCTTGGCCCCCAAGTGCTGGGATTACCGGCGTGAGCCACTGCACCGGGCCAAGATTTTTTTAAAAATCACACAAAACAGCCTGGGCAACATGGCAAAACCACATCTCTACCAAAAAAAAAAAAAATTAACCAGGTATGGTGGTACACACCTATAGTCCCAGTTACTCAGGAGGCTGAGGCGGGAGGATCACTTGAGCCTGGTGAGGCTGAGGCTGCAGTGAGCCGTAAGCACACCACTGCACTCCAGCCTGGGCTACAGAGTAAGGCCCTGTCTCAAAAAAGTTAAAAAATTAATAGTAAAAAATCACATAAAAATGAACCACTTGTGAATTAAAAGAAAACTCTTCAAAATAACTCGAGGCAGACAAAACCAAGCTAAAAGTAACATCTATTTAGATACAAAGGAAAATGAGAACATTATGTAACATAAACAAGATGATGCAGCTTTAAGCCACATTCAGAGGAAATTTCATAGTCTTAAAGCTTTTATTGTTGCATAAGAAATGAAAATAAATGAACTTAGCATCTAAGTTAGAGATAAGGGGGGGAATCTCTCAGGAAAATTGAAAAATGCAACCAGATGTTGGTTCTTCGAAACAGGAATAAGAATAGACCACTAGGAAGTCCTGTTTTGTTTTGTTTTTAATAGGACACACGGTACTCACCAGTGGGAATAGAAAAGAGAACATAGTCGCAGCTACATTCAAGAAGAGGTAGAAAAACACAAAGTGTAAAAGGTATTAAGAATCTACCTCCTAGAGTCTGGTATTTACAGGTGAGTTTTATAATAAATTCAAGGACTAGGAATTCCATTGTTAATTGGGATGAAAGTCCTTCATCCATTTTAGAGGCTAGCATACTCGTGATACCAAGAGGGCAATCATGGCAATATTAAAACCAAAACCAAAGGCTGGGTGTAGGGGCTCATGCCTGTCATCCCAGCACTTTGAGAGGCCGAGGCAGGTGAATCACTTGAGGTCAGGAGTTCGAGACCAGCCTGGCCAACATGGTGAAACTTCATATCTACTAAAAATACAAAAAATTAGCTGGTGTGGTGAGCGCCTGTGGTCCCAGCTACTCGGGAGGCTGAGGCAGAATAATTGTTTGAACCAGAGAGGTGGAGGTTGCAGTGAGGCGAGATTACGCCGCTGCACTCCATCCAGCCTGGACAACAAAAGCGAAACTCCATCTTGAATAAAAAAATCTTTAAAAACCCATAGACCAGTTTGTAAATACAAAGGAAGGAACCTAATTAGTCAACCAGAACCCAGCCTTGTGAATTGAACACAAGCTGTGAAGACGCCTCTTCGTCCAAGACTGCTCCAGTGCCCGTGAGGCCGAGCCCCATGCTGCCCCCACACTTCCTTCCCCGTGGTGCGTGGGCCTGAGACTGTCCCTCACTCATGGCAGCTGGCATCAAGTGAGGCCATCAGTAGCTGTGAATGCGGTCCAGGTGGCACCCACACCAGCGAACTCACCTCGGCCCCGGGACTTGGCCGCAGGCTTTATAATCCAGATGTTCCGCAGCCCGTCGATGTCTGTCTGAGGGTTCACGGATGTGATTTTATTCAGCAGAGCCTGGCACTGCAGAAAGTAACTTCTTGAATTGGAGATGAAAGCGTCACCACTACAAAGCAAGATCCGGAAAGTGCATGAGACTCCGAGGCTGGGGCCCAGCTCGCCCACCAAGCAGGCTCCACTCTGGGACGGTCCGGGGCTGAACTGGCGGGAAAGGGCTGGGGGCCACACCAGGCGAGGGCCTTGTGAAGGGCCATGTGGGGACCCCAGTGTGTGTGTCTGAACTGGCCATGGGCCTCAAGCAGCACCCTGCCTGGGTGGAAATGGTGGGAGGCAGGTGAGGGGAGACGCAGCCGTGCCCGGGTTCCACCTGTGATTGGTGGTGCCTGGGCCCATCCCTGGTAGGAAAGTGCCCGGCCCGTGCAGGTCTCCTGGGTCCCCACCAGCTGCCAGCGCCACGTCCTGTGAGCTCAACATCAGCCTGACTCGAGACCCCACTGGTGGCTTTGCAGTCATGGGCTAGACACCAGAAGTCATAACTACAGGGAAAAAGGAGCAGGTAAGGAGAGCTAATTGATCGGGTTTAGAGCTCGGGGTGCACTCCTGCTGCCTGGACGGTGGAGGGGAAGCCATGTGGTGCCAGCAGCCACCCCAGGGCCCGTTGGACCCGTCGGACCCATCCTGCATGGGCAGACTCAGGGCTGCAAAGAAGAAGGCCCAGCGTGGAGCTCCCCTGACATCCTGACGAGGCGGCTGGGGCACAGGAGCGGGGCCAGCGGGGCTCCAAGGACACCAGCCATGACTCTCCTGGCCGGCCTGAGCTGGGGTGGGACTCCATTCACACCTCCTGGGGCGGCTTGAAGGGAGAAGTGAGTCTGGGGTGTCCCTGACAACATGGGAAGGGCCCCACCCGGGAAGGACTGAAGGTGACCTCAGGTGGGCAGCACCTCCCTGCTCTCACCAGCCGACACGCCTCCTCCCTGGTAAGCGATGTGCACTCCTGGCCCCAGGATGGGAACAGGACCCTCCACTGCGGTGAGAACGTGAAGCAAACCAGGTGCAGCCAGCCCCCCGACCCCGCGCCCCTGAAACAACCCCGTCCCTGCTGCACGGGCTGGCCCAAGACGATCGTGTGTAAATAGGACAGGTCACTGTGGACGTCCACCATGCTGGTCACAGCCAGCGCCTCCCAGGGGACCAGCAAGCTTCCAGTGACCCGGGGCTGCAGTGACTTGCTCAGGAGGAAGACAAGCTGTGGCCATCCCATAGGAAGGAATCCCTCACGGCATCCCCAGGACAGCCCAGCCCCCAGCCAGGGACGCCCTCACACTGGGAGGTGGGATTTGAGCAGGACCACCCTCCCCGCAGGTGCATGCACTGTGGTGTTGGCCCTGCTTTGCGGGGAGAAGGCTGAGAGCAGTGAGGGTTAGAGTTGCTCATGAGCCCAGCAGAGCGACACGCAGGAGCTGGCAACACCCAGGAACCATGAAATGCACGTCCCAGACTCAACAGAGAACAAGCTGGGCCTCCAGATGCTGGCAGTGAGCAGGGCACAGCCACGGCTGAGTCCTGACCCTGGGGCACACCTTAGCCCAGTAGATGAGGACTGACCGGCCTGAGGCACCAGGGGCTCCCAGAGAGAGCCTCTCCAGCAGCAGCTGGGAAGCTCCCGTGGACACCCACACACCCTCATGATGTGGTTGGGGATGAGTCCGCCACAGGGACACGGTGGGGCTCCGATGCTGCCACCTGGTGGTCACCCCTGGGACTTCCTTTTAATTTAGGTCTAAGAAAATACAGCGCAGTGCATCCTGCCATACTTGAAAAATTCAAGTTGCACAATGTGTTCATCCATATACGCCCGTGCACCTGCCCCCGGGCCGAGACAGGAGCGCCCCCGCTCCTCAGCAGGCAGTGGGGACCAGTGGCCGTGCTGACCGTCACTGGACAGGGCTAGCCTGTTCTTGAACTTCCTATCAGTGAAACCACGCTTTGTACTCCTTTGTGCATGGCCTCTTTTTCTTTTTCTTTCTTTCTTTCTTTTTTTTTTGAGACAAAGTCTCACTCTCTCCCAGGCGGGTGTGCAGTGGTGTGATCTTGTCTCACTGCAACCTTCACCTCCCAGTTCAAGCAATTCTCCTGCCTCAGGCTTCCGAGTAGCTAGGATTACAAGTGCCCACTACTACACCTGGCTAATTTTTGTATTTTTAGTAGAGACAGGGTTTCACCATGTTGGTCAGGATGGTCTTAATCTCCTGATCTCCTGATCCACCCACTCAGCCTCCCAAAGTGCTGGGATTACAGGCGTGAGCCACCACGCCCGGCAATACTTTATAATTTATTTAAATTATTTAAATATTAAATTTTCTATATGAACAATCATGTCATCTACAAACAAGAATTTTATTTTTTCCTTTCTCATCTTCATGCCTTACTTTTTTCCTGTACTATTAAACCAGTCAGACCATTCAAAGCTGAACAGAAGTCTGATGGTAAGCATCTGTCTCATTCTGATTTCACTTTCAATAATATATAACCACTAAGAAATATGTTAGCTGTTGGATTCTTAAACTTTCAAATGAAAAGATTTAATTGTGTGGAAGTCACACCTGTAATCCTAGCACTTTGGGAGTCAAAAGCAGGAGGATTGCCTGAGGCTAGAAGTTCAAGACAAGCCTGGGCAACATAGCAAGACCCTGTCTCTACAAAAAATTTAAAAATTAGCCAGTGTGGTGGCATGTGCCTGGAGTCCCAACTACTTGAGAAGCTGAGGTGGAAAGATTGCTTGAACCCAGGAGTTTGAGGTGGCAGTGAGCTATGATTGTGCCACTGCACTCCAGCCTAGGTGGACAGAGTGAGACCCCATCTCAAAAAAAAGTTTTTCCACTTCCTAGTTTGCTATTCAAATTTACAAGAACAGGTATTAAGTTTCACCAATTTTTGCATCTTTCGAGATGATCATATAGCTTTCCTTTTGACCTCACTGACCCCACGTGTGCCGGCGTGGACGGACCTCACAAATCCCACATGTGCCGGTGTGGACGGACCTCACTGACCCCACGTGTGCCGGCGTGGACGGACCTCATAGATCCCATGTGTGCTCATGTGGATGGACCTCACCAACTTCACATGTGCCAGCGTGGACGGACCTCATAAATCCCACATGTGCCGGTGTGGACGGACCTCACAAATCCCACATGTGCCGGTGTGAATGGACCTCACAGATCCCACATGTACTGGTGTGGACAGACCTCACCAACCTCATGTGTGCCAGTGTGGATGGACCTCACAGATTCCATGTGTGCCAGTGTGGATGGACCTCACTGACCCCATGTGTGTCAGCATGGACAGACCTCAAAGACCCCACGTGTGTCAGCGTGGACAGACCTCACAGACTCGCCCCTGGTGGCAGCTGCTCATGCTTCTGGGGTGCCAGAGCCACCTGTGCCCAGTTCCTCTCTCTGGTGGCTGCTGGCAAGGGAGTGCTGGACTCCTGGCTCCGGAAAGAGCTTGGCCCTCAGCAGGGGGCAGAAAGGCCGGGGTCAGCCTTTGCACCCCTGGAGCAGCGAATGGTGATGAGGTTGGCGAGCCAGGAGCTCTGGGCCCAAGCGCGCCTCTGCCAGTCACTTGCCAATGGCCAAGAGTGAGGCAGGTGGCCCAGCTGTGAAACAGACAAATCCCACCTGCCTGTCTCAGACTGTGGGGGACTCAAATGACATCACTCCCTTCTCGATTTTGAAGATGCACAAGACAATGTTACTCCCCAAAGGCGCCCCAAGGTGGGTATCCTCTCAACATCCCCGGTGGAACAGGCAACAGAGGGCCTAGGCACCCTGACACTCGTAAGGCACCTCAACATCCAGACAGACACCTCAATACCCAACAAGCATTCCAGACTCCAGACAAGTGCCTCAATACCCAACAAACATCTCGACACCCAGACAGAAGCCCCAACATCCAGACACCCCAATACCCAACAAGAATACCCCACAGGTAAGTTAATGCCCAGACAGGTGACCCAGTTCCCAGAGGCCGCACAGCCCCTGCAGCTCCTGCAATCCCCACTCGCCAGCTCTGGCGCGTGCTGAGGGAGGCTATACTTCGGGCTCTGCGAGCCGAGGCCTGTGCAAGTCTTACTGAATGAGGGCATAGTACTGCTGGGTCAGGTCCTCCCACTCCGCCTCGGTGAGGTCCTCCGTGGTGCCCTCTGCCATGTCGATGTCCTCATGCTCCAGCTTCCCCAGGTAGGTCTGGCACACCTTGCACGCGACGTCCACAAGCTGCCCAGGAAGGCCCCTGAGCTTTGCCTCAGCATTTTCAGCATCTGAAACCCAAACACAGGCACATGGAGTGTGGACCCCCACAAGGAGGCAGCCCCGCCCACCTCGTGGAGTGATACCTAAAGCCATGGACAAAGGCAGCTCCACTCCCTCTGTGCCCCGATACCCAGACAGGCACCCTAAGACCCCACAAAGCTTCTCTGGGCAGCCACCCTGGATGCCACGCCTGCATCTGTGCAGGTGACTTCCTCCCCTGAACGGCCCGATCCTCCACTGGCTCGGTGAGTACCACCTCCCCAAGCAAACATATGGACCCTGCCGCCTGACTCTCAGTGCCCCATAGTAGCGATTACTAATAAGTTCAACTTCATTAAAATGAAAAGCTTCTGCTCTGTAAAGGACAGTGAGAAGACAAGCCATAGATTGGGAGGAAATATTTGCACACATCTAATAAAGGAACATTATCTAGAGTATGCAGAGAACTCTCGAAAGTCAACAATAAGAAAACGTAGTTTTATTTTTTATTTGTATTTTTTTGAGCCAGAGTTTTGTGCTTGTCTCCCAGGCTGGAGTGCAATGGCAAGATCTTGGCTCACTGCAACCTCCACCTTCCAGGTTCAAGCAATTCTTGTGCCTCAGCCTCTCAAGTAGCTGGGATTACGAGTGCCCACCATCACACCTAGTTAATTTTGTATTTTTAGTAGAGATGGAGTTTCACCACGTTAGCCTAGCTGGTCTCCAACTCCTGACCTCAAGTGATCCACCTGCCTCAGCCTCCCAAAGTGCTGGGATTACAGGTGTGAACCGCCACATCCAGCCAGAAAACATAATTTACTAATGTGACTCTGAACAGTCACCTCACCAAAAAATCTATACAGATGGAAAACAAGCATATGAACACATGCTCAACATCAAATGCCACTGTGAAATCGCAAATCACAACAATAATGAGGCACTACGACAGACCCCGGAGAATGGTACAAACAGAACACTGACAACATCAGATGCTGGTCAGGATGTGGAGGACAGGAACTCTCCCTCATTGCTGGTGGAAATGCAAAATGGTGCAGCTACTTTGGAAGACAGTCTGGTAGTTTCTTAGAAAACTAAACCTACTCTTGCCACATCACTCAGTAAGTACACTCCTTGGGATCTGCCCAAAGGAGGGCAAAATTTATGGCCACACAAAGACCTGCACACAGATGTTTACGGAAACATTATTCATGATTGTCAAAATCTGGAAGTGACCAAGATGTCTTGCAGTAGATGAACAGATAAACAGTGGTGGATCCAGAGAGTGGAATATTACTCAGCGCTAAAAAGAGTGAGCTATCAAGCCGTGAAAAGACTTGGAAGAATCTTAAATGCATATCACTAAGTCAAAGAAGCCCATCTGAAAAGGCTCCATGCTACCTGGTTCTATCCAAATGGCATTCTAAAAAAGGCAAAGCCATGGAGACAGAAAAAGATCAGTGGTAGTCAGGAGCTTGGGGTGGGGGTGGGGGGATGAGGAGACAGCACAGAGAGTTTTGGGGTGGGGGGATCTTCTCTGTCTGATACTGGAACGGTGGATACACATCATCATACATTTGTCCAAACCTGCAGAATGTATAAAACCATTTGGGTTACCATGATGTGTCAATGTAAGTTCATCAACTGGGTTAAAATTATTAATTAGGCCGGGTACAGTGGCTCAAGCCTGTAATCCCAGCACTTGGGAGGCCAAGGTGGGTGGATCACTTGAGGTCAGGAGTTCAAGATCAGCCTGACCAACATGGCGAGACCCCATCTCTACTAAAAATACAAAAAATTAGCCAGGTGTGGTGTCGTGTGCCTGTAATCCCAGATACGCAGGAGGCTGAGGCAGGAGAATCACTTGAACCAGGAAGGTGGATGTTGCAATGAGCCAAGATCACACCATTTTGCACTCCACCTGGGTGACAGAGTGAGACTTCATCTCAAAAGAAAAATAGAATCATTAATTAGGAGGCCATCGGACTGAGGTGGCCCAAGTGGCCTCGTGTCCAACATAAGCAAGCCAAAACCTAACTCAGAATTGAAAGTGAAACCTGAGCACAGCCAGTCACAGGCAGCCCGCTGGGAAAAGTTCCCACTCAGCACAGATAAGGCCACTGCCCCAGCGTTCAGCAATTGGGATTTGTTTCGTCCGCTTCCACATTTACCTAGAAGAGCTTTTCCCTCGGTGGAGCCCTGCAGCCGTCTGATTGGCACAAATACACACTAAAAGTCTAATGCACTCATGTTCGTGTGTCAGCAGTTGCAGTGAACGCACCGCTCTGGAGGGGGTGTCGACCGCGGGGGAGGCGCATGGCAAATCCTGGGCCTCTGTTCGGCGGTGCTGTGAACCTAAAACCGCTCTAGAAATCACATTTTATTAAAGTCACAAGAAAGATTTGGATTTTGTCCGAAACCACGATGGCTGGCTCACATCCCTGCACCACTTAGGGCACCTCTCTCTGGGGCTTCCTGCATTCTCTCCCACAAGGCCTTTCTGGGGAGACTCGGGCTGCGGCATCAGGGTGGCCATGGGGCACGACCACAGGCTGGAACCACGTCCATGGCACGGAACTGTGGTGGTGAGCATGGGACTCGGATGTCCCAGGGCTGTGTTAACTGCCAGGTGCTTCGCAAACCGGGCGACTTCAGCATTTAGCCCCACGGTTAGATCAGGAAACACGTTTGCTGTGAGAATCGAGAGAGTCTGAGGCATGGCTGCATCTGGTCCCGGCTGCTCAGACCCTCGAGACTGACTATGCCCAGGAGGCAGGAGGGCCCCCGTGGAGGCCCCCAGCTCTGGCGGCCCGGCACTGCCCGGCCCCGGCCCCATGCCCCACACACCTGTCCTGCTGCTCAGCTCGCTGCTCTCGGCCTCCTCCGCCTGAGCCCTGGGCTTGCTCCTGCCGCAGCTCTGGTGACTGACCACCCACTTGAGGATGCTGGATGCCATGGTACGCCGGAAGTCATCTGGAAGGACAGCACAGCCTCATCCTGTGCTCAAGCCGGAAGTGAAGGACAGCACAGCCTCACCCTCCACCTGAGCCTGAACTGGGGACTGGAGTTGGGGCCAGGGCCTCGGAAGCTCCCGCACCTGCCCCACTTCCTGGCTCACAGCTGGTGGAGGCCAGGCCTGCACCCACAGCTCGCTCTGCCTGGCCTTCTCCCCCCAGCACCTCTGTGACTGCAGCTGTCCAGCTGCACCCCTTGGCCTCCAACCATGGAGCCGGCCTCACCCCAGTGGCTCGCGCACTGTCCCCAGGCCCAGATGCAGGGCCACGCACTCCGTGACTGCCCGCCGTCCCTCCCCTGCACCCCTGGCCCCTGCACTGCCGTGACCATGGCCTCTGTCCTCTGTCCTCTGTCCTCAGACCTGGCCTCATCAATCTGTCCCAGTGCCAGGGGGCTCCTTCTAGAAGCCTCTCTGCTGACAGCACTGGGCCCTCTGCCCCGTCCCACGCATTGCTGTGTCTCAGAAGGCAGAGCATGCATCGCATGGGACCTGCAGGCCGGGTGCTGAGCAGCAAGGTGACCACATCTAGCCCGGCCAAGATGAGCAGCACCACTCTGAGCTGGCACAAGCCAGCAGGGCCTCCCCGGCCTGCCCTGACCAACACCCGCTCCACAGCCGCAGTGCCCCTCCCCCTTCCGAGGTTGCCCACGGAAGTTTCCAGACCAGCCCTTGCCAGGGGACCAGAGGTGCTGAGCTGGGGTGCTGGCTGCGCCCCGGGGCCGCGTCACTCACCCAGGAACTCCTGCTGCTCGCTGTCAGTGCAGAGGCTGTAGCAGCGTGGGAAGAAGGAGTCGGGGTTCGCCGGGACATACCACGGCAGGCTCCGCATGTTCACGCACAGCCCGATCTCCAGAGACAGTGGCGTGTTAGGCCTGAGGGGCAGCTCCGCTCCACTTCGCTCGAAAGGCAGGACCCCCCATCCACCTCAGACTCGCCTGACCACCGGGCACCACAGGGCACCCCTGGGGCAGACCCCTCCCCCTCCCTGTCCCCAGTCTCTCGGCCTCTCAGGGCCTCAGGCCAGGCTCTGCACACAGGGTCTTTGCAGGAGCCGTGTTTCCACCAGCAGGGCCGGCCCTGGCCTGACCCGGAGGAGGCCTTGGGGTGGCAGGTGTGGAAGGCCACCTTATCCCCCATCCCCGCCCCATACACTGTGCTGAGGCAGCTACACCCCGCCGGCTGAGGGGGCCCCTGTGCTAGGGAAGCCCCTCTGCCCTACCCCTCCCTCAGCAGGGTCCCCACACCCTGCATCCTGGCCAGGCCCCAACCCTGGACCTTGGTGGAAAAGTGTGGCAGCTGCCTTGTGCAGTGCCAGGGATGGGGGAGGCGGGAAAGTGCCCAGTGACGTACATTCCCAGTCAGGGACTGCTGCAGCGGAGGGCTACACCCCTGCCCCTGGGAACCCACAGCCCCTTCACGGGCAAAGCCCGGTGGCAGCTCCCACTCAGCCCCATCTTTGACTTGGCCTCTGTGCCCTGAGGCCCCAGAGACACAGAGCAAAGGGCCCAGGGGTGCTAGGGGTGGGGTGGGCACTGAGTGATTCTGGCCATGGCGTTAGACCAGTAGTCCCAGGAGGCACCCAGGAGGTGAGTGGTGGCCGCCTATGGCCACCCATGGCCACTGACCAGCCGCCAGGGGTCCCTAGTGGCTGCAGAGGCTCCTCCCCCCACCCTTGCCGGCTCCTGCAAGCCCCACCCTCTCCTGTCACCCTCAGCAGCGGCTCACCTTGGTGGTGAAGGAGGCAGTCTTGGCGTAGTGGTTCAGCATCTGGTCACAGGTCAGGTTGTGATAGTCAATGACGTCCCTCTTGATGGTCCAGAGAAGGTAGGGCATCTCGTTTTTTACCAACCTAGACTGGCAAGAAGAAAGTCTTTGTTGATAGCCAGCAGTCAAGGTTCACGCCAGCCGGGACGTGACGGAGCGAGGCGAACATCAGAGGATAAATTGGGCGCAGTGTGAGGCTCCCAGCCGTGCTCCTTGAGCGCCTGCTGCACACGGGGCCTGGGGCGCAGCCAGGACCACACGGGGTTCCACTCAGGGGCCTGGTGCTCTGGAGAGCCAACCCTGATGTGGGAGCTGCAGGTGAGACTGAGCCCTCCACATGGGGTCTCCATGGGGTGGGGACGAGCCACTGGCCAAGGTAGAATACACAACACTTCACGACCAGGAGCTCACAGTCCCTGGGATGGAGGCCCCTAGGCCTGCACCACCTGCAGAGCCCCACCTGGGCCCCAGGCGCTGGCCACTGATCCTGCCCTGCTGATAGAGGGGCCGGGCGGGGAGCTGGGGCCTGAAGCCAGGGCGTCCTGTTGGCGCTTTTCTGTCTGCACCAATGGCCCATGTTGAGTCAAAATTCCAACCAGGCCGGGCATGGTGGAGCAGGCCTGTAATCCCAGCACTTTGGGAGCCTGAGGCGGGTGGATCACGAGGTCAAGAGATTGAGACCATCCTGGCCAACATGGCGAAACCCTGTCTCTACTGAAAGTGCAAAAATTAGCCGGGCGTGGTGGTGCGCACCTGTAGTCCCAGATACTCGGGAGGCTGAGACAGGAGAATCACTTGAGCCCAGGAGGCGGAGGTTGCAGTGAGCTGAGATTGTACTACTGCACTCCAGCCTGGGCAATAAAGAGACACTCTGTTTCCAGAAAAAAAAAAAGAAGAAGAGAAAGAAAATAATTGAAAATAATTCCAACCCCACAAAGAGATTCAAGAAAGGAAAACATTCTTCAAAATCCTCTCCCATGAGATAATCTCTGACCTGACACCTTGGAGAGCACTCATCTGAGTCGGTCTCTGCAGACAAGTGCGTGTGGACACACAGACACCCACATTTACCTTCACGGGCAGAATCCCACACGCGACATTCCACAAGGCGGAAGGTTCCACGCGGCGCCCTGTAAGTGCAGGCCAGGCCTCCCTCCACCCTGCTCTGTGCAGACCCCAGGGAGGGAGCTGGGCCTCAGGCCCTCTGTACTTCATGGTCCAACCTCCTGTTCCTACCCTTGGAGTGGCATCTGTCGCTTTCCTTGTCATTTTCAGATAGAAGTCTCATTTTTTAACACATGTTTTGAATTATCTTAGAAATATAAAAGTGTAAGGCTGGGCCTGGTGGCTCACACCTGTAATCCCAGAACTTTGGGAGGTCAAGGCTGGCAGATCACCTGAGGTCAGGAGTTCGAGACCAGCCTGGCCAACAGGTGAAACCCTGCCTCTGCTAACAATGCAAAAATTAGCCAGGTGTGGTGGTGTGCGCCTGTAATCCCAGCTACTTGGGAGGCTGAGGCAGGAAAATCACTTGAACCTGGGAGGCAGAGCTTGCAGTGAGCCGAGATCGAGCCTCTGCGCTCCTGCCTGGGTAGCAAGTGCGAAACTCTGTCTCAAAAAAAAAGAAAAATGTAAAAGTGTAAATAATAGCATACTAACCGCTAACCACTAACCACTGCATCCTGGGGTGAGAAACAGCATTATCAACAGAACCAAAGTCCCTCAGTCACCCCCGTCAGGTAACTGCACCTGCATCTCTCTCCTCCACACCTAGTGAGCCGAATGTTTTCCCCGAAATGTATGTGTTGCAGTCCTCACCCCCAGGCGATGGCATAGGAGGCAGGGCTCTAGGATTAGGTCGTAAGCATGAGGCCCTTATAAAGTGGCCCCAGAAAAACCCTTGCCCGTGTGAGGACGCAGAAAGAAGTCAGCTGTCTGTGAAGCAGGGCACCCTCACCAGCCCAGCCATGCTGCCCCTGACCCAGCCTCCAGCCTCCAGAACAGTGAGGAGTGTTCTTTCCCGGGACCTGCAGAGTCGCTGGAGCACTCACGGGGTCTGTGGGAACGGCACTGACCCCAGGAACTTGGAAGAGTGAGCTCGCTGGCCTCGGGGGAGGCTCTCGATCAAGTCTGTGCCCATTTTTCTACTTGCCTTTTCATGACTGATTTGTGAGATCTTTACATATCCTGGATATTTGATCTTTTAAATTGTAAGTACTGCAAATGCCGCCTCCCACTCTGGTTTCTCTTTCACCCTCTTTATGGGGGAGCATGGGGTGTCCCTGAGGAACCAGATGGGGCTGGGGAGGTGGGAGGGCACACTGCTGTGTTGCTGGAGACCCCAGCTCACTCTCTGATCAGGCCTGGCCTGCAACACACACGCCAGGAAGGCCCTCAGCTTCCACGAGCACGCGGCAGGCCAGCCCAGTGTGGGTAGAGGGAGCTGGGCGCACCAGGTCTGCCCCCTGCACAGTGGCTCATCCAGCACTGAAGGGCTCACCACACCCCAGGTCAAGGGGCCCTGCTGTGACTGGGGTTTTGCCCCCACCAGACTGCCATCCCCCAGGACATGGGCAAGTGGGCACAGAGCAGGGTGATGGTGTGAGAAACCGTGGAGAGGCCGAGGCTGATTAGGACGCACGCAGGGGACGTACCATCACATCGTGGATGTCCTCTATTCTCTCCACAGCTGTTTCTTTATTTTCTTTCACTTCAGCAGGTTTATCATCTGCCAATGAGACACAGTGGGAGGCCTGAACATAGAGCCTCTGCCAGACTTCCGAAGCACTCCATTATCACCGTCAAGGGCAGGACGGCAACTTCCCCTGGTGGAGCGGGTGCCTCTGCGGGTGTTGGGTCAGGCTCGGGACATCCTGGCTGCCCCCACACATCCGGTGAGTGTCCACAGGACAGCAATCCCACCAGGGCTGTGACAGGGCATGGGGTCCCAGGATTCCTGGAGGCCCAGATGTCCTGGGGTACGGAACGGTGGAGACAGCTCAAGGTGGGGGTGGGTGTGATGGAGGCCATGGGGTCCCGGGCAGGGGTGGGCGGGAGGGGGACATTTGATCTGGGTCTCACTGGGACCAAGAGGACATAGACACAGTTGTGCAGAGGGTCAGTGAGGAGCAGTGGGTACCGTGGGGGCCTGAGGAGTAGACTTCAGGGCGCTGGGGCCAGAGGAGGGATGGCTGGGTGGGGCAGAGTAGGACTATGGAAACCACCCCGGCAGGAGGAGGCCCGGCCTGGGTTGGGGCCACAGGGACACTGAGAAGGGAGCAGTGCCAGGGGCTTGAAAGTGTTTGCCCTGCATGACCACCTGGGGCAGGGAGGCCAGGAGGATGATGGCGACCTGGAGTCGGAGAGATTCCATCATGCACACTGGGACCCGAGGGTAGGCAGCACGCTCAGGTTGGCATGGACACTCCCCCCCCATGCCCGTGGCAGACAGGCACGCCCTGCACTGAGACTTGCGCCTCCAATACCCTACCAGGGACCCGGGTGCCTCCATCCTCGACGTTGGGAATGACCCTGGGCAAGAAGTGGAACTTCTTCTCCACCCAGCCCTTCCTCCGCAGAGCGGCACGCACCACTGGGTAGTGTCCATAGATAGAGAAAATCTTCTTCTCCTAAGATCGCAAGAGGATATTTTTATTTCAATCATCTTTGGAGAACAGGTGGATTTTGGTTACATGGATAAGCTCTTTAGTGGTGATTTTTAAGGTTTCGGGGCACCTGTCACCCAATAGATAATTTTTTTTTTTTCGAGACGGAATCTAGCTCTGTCGCCCAGGCTAGAGTACAGTGGTGCGATCTCAGCTCACTGCAACCTCCACCTTCCAGGTTCAAGCGATTCTCCCTGCCTCAGCCTCCCAAGTATCCGAGTAGCTGGGATTACAGGTGCCTGCCACCACGCCTGGCTAATTTTTTTTTTTTTTTTAGACAGAGTCTCACACTGTCGCCAGGGCTGGAATGCAATGGCACGATCTTGGCTAATTGCAACCTCTGCCTCCCTGGTTCATGCAATTCTCCTGCCTCAGCCTCCCGAGCAGCTGGGATTACAGGTGCACACCACCACACCCAGCTAATTTTTTGTATTTTTAGTAGAGATGAGTTTTCACTATATTGGCCAGACTGGTCTCGAACTTCTGACCTCGTGATCTGCCTGCCTTGGCCTCCCAAAGGGCTGGGATTACCTGAGGTCAGGAGTTCAAGACCAGCCTGGCCAACATAGTGAAACCTCCAATTCTACTAAAAAATAAAAAAATTCGCTAGATGTGGTGGCATGCACCTATAGTCCCAGCTACTCACCTGTAGTCCCAGCTACTCAAGAGGCTGAGGCGTGAGAATTGCTTGAACCCAGGAGGCAGAGGTTACGGTGAGCTGAGATTCTGCCACTGCACTCCAGCCTGGGCAACAGAGCCAGACTCTGTCTCAAAAATAAATAAATAAACAGACAAAAAAATAAATAAATAAATGTAACTCCAGCCAAGTCCCACAGGGAGGAGGCTGCGGCTCTTAGGCACAGTACGTCAGATGCCAGACAAACAGACTCCAAGTTCCAAAACAAATGTTCTTTTAAAAAAGTGTTCCCCTCCCCACAGAGTCCCAAGGAGCATTTACCTTGATGGCTTTTTCTGTTAACTGCCTTGCTATTTTGTATCTGTCTAATTTAGGGGAGGAAGCCAAGTCTTGAGAAATTCCTTGTATTAATTCTGCAAAAGAGAAAGAGGACATCAAGTCAAAGGAAACAGCATCCAAGACTGGTTCGGTGGCTCACGCCTGTAATCCCAGCACTGCGGGAGGCTGAGGCAGGTGGATCACATGAGGCCAGGAGTTCAAGACCAGCCTGGCCAACATGGCGAAATCCCATCTCTACTAAAAATACAAAAGTTAGCCGTGTGTGGTGGCGCATGCCTGTAATCCCAGCTACTCCGGAGGCTGAGGCAGGAGAATCCCTCCCGCCAGCTCCTCCTGCCACTTTCTCCACCCCCTGGGCTCCAAAAACCCATGTCCGTCCAGCCAACTGATTTAGACTAAAGCTCCGAAGCACCTCAGTGGGGACGGTGCGAGAACAACTGTACGTCCGTGTGGAGAGGGCAAACTGTAACTGCTGCCTGACAACATGCCCCAAAACTAATCTTCGCTGTGTGAAAGCTGAACACACAGAGCCTCTAGGAGAAAACACAGAGAGTACCTTCACGACTGTGGGTCAGGAGAACATTTCTCAAACCGTCCCAGAAAGCACTAACCACACACGTTAAAATTGATGAAGTCCTGGACTTCATCAACATTCAAACGTTCTGCTTTGTTAAGAAAATGAAGGGGTAAAGCACAGACTGGAGAACAAATTCAAAGACATCTGCCCACCAGGCGCGGTGGCTCACACCTGTAATCCCAGCACTGTGGGAGGCCGAGGCGGGCAGATCACAAGGTCAGAAGTTCAAGACCAGCCTGACCAACATGGTGAAACCCCATCTCCACTAAAAATATAAAAATTAGCTGGGCATGGTGATGTGTGCCTGTGATCCCATCTACTTAGGAGGCTGAGGCAGGAGAATCACTTGAACCCAGGCAGCGGAGGTTGCAGTGAGCCAAGATCCTACCATTGCACGCCAGCCTGGGCACAGAGTGAGACTCCATCACAAAAAAAAAAAAAAAAAAAAAAAAAGACACACATCTAATGAGGCCAGACATGAAATGGCATATTCTGAGGCATGCCATCCATGAGTCAGCAAAATTCATCCACCGTCACTGAGAACACAGCCATGGGAGGCGGGTGTGGTCGGAGAATGGCCCAAGGAACCAACAGCAGCAGAAGCGTCTGAGGCACATGAAGCAGAACAACTCCATCTTGAACAGGAGCTGTGTAAAAGGTGGCTGAGACCTGCCGGGATGCTGCATTCCCAGGTGGTGAAGACGTTCTAAGTCACAGGATGAGATGGGAGGTCAGCACAAGATACAGGTCATAAAAACCTTGCTGAGGCCGGGCGTAGGTGGCTCAAGCCTGTAATCCCAGCACTTTGGGAGGCCGAGGCGGGTGGATCACAAGGTCGAGAGATCAAGACCAACCTGGTCAACATGGTGAAACCCCGTCTCTACTAAAAATACAAAAAAAAAAATTAGCTGGGCATGGTGGCGCGTGCCTATAATCCCAGCTACTCAGGAGGCTGAGGCAGGAGAATTGCCTGAACCCAGGAGGCGGAGGTTGCGGTGAGCCGAGATCGCGCCATTGCACTCCAGCCTGGGTAACAAGAGCGAAACTCCGTCTAAAAAAAAAAAAAAAAAACCTTGCTGATAAAACAGGGTGCCATAAAGGAGCCAGCTAAAACCCACCAAAACCAAGACAGTCACGAGCAAGACCTCTGATCATGCTTACCGCTATACTCCCACCAGCGCCATGACAGTTACGAGCGCCATGGCCACGTCAGGAAGTTACCCTAGGTGGTCCAAAGAGGGGAGGCATGAATATTCCACCCCTCACCTAGCATATCATCAAGAAATAACCATTGAATGCTTACGCTGTGTCTGTGTGGTAGAAGAGGGCAAGGGCAGGAAGGAAGAGAAGGGCGCAGCCCCCCATGACCCACCAGGAGAGCCCTTCACACCCACACATTTAATTTCCCAGCTTCCCAGGAAGCTGGCCAGTGGGATTGGGGAGCAGGAGGCAAGACCCAGCGGCCCCAACGCCCCTGGGGTCCTCTGCCTGGACCATCCAAAAGAAGGTGCCTGGTTCTGCAGCTCAGTGATGTGGCCGCCCCCGGATTCCCTGATTTCCCGGCAGCAGGCTGCAGCCAGAACTGCCTCTGAGCCTCGGAGCTGCCGCATGGCTCTGGGTGAGTGGCTGGCACGCAGGCATACAGGATACCCACTATTTCCTTCGCTCCCATCTCCATCCGAAGAAGCCGACCAGAACCCCTTCCTCTCTGGCTCCATGCTGGCCTCAGACAGCTCACCCTTCCCTCCTCCAGCCCCTAGAGGAGAGGGTGTGCTGGTTATGAGAAACGGGGAGGCTGTGGAGGGCCCCAGGAGCGAGAGGGTTCTATGCCCCAGTGGAGGGTCAGGTCAGGGTTGGGGGTCAGGTGTTAGTTGGCAGATCAGGTCTGAGTTGGGGAGCAAGTCTGGGTTGGAGATCAGGTCTGGGTTGGGGTCAGGTCTGAGTTGGGGGTCAGGTCTGGGTTGGTGGATAAGCCTGAGACTGGAGGTCAGGTCTGGGATTGGGGTCAGGTCTGGGGTTGGGGGTCAGGTCTAGTTGGGGGTCTGAGTTGGAAGGTCGGGTCTGGGTTGAGGGTCAGGTCTGGTTTGGGGTCAGGTATGAGTTGGAGGGTCTGGTCTGGGATGGGGTCAGGTCTGGGCTAGGGTCAGGTCTGGATTAGGGGATCAGGTCAGATCTGGATTGGGGTCAGCTCTGGTTTGGGGGTCAGTTCTGAGTTAGGGGTCATGTCTGGGGTTGGGGGGTCAGGTCTGGGGTTGGGGTCAGGTCTGAGTTGGGGTCAGCTCTGGGATTGGGGTCATGTCTGGGGTTGGGGGTCAGGTCTGGGTTGGGGTCAGCTCTGGGCTTGGGGTCATGTCTGGAGTTGGGGGGTCATGTCTGGGATTGGGGTCATGTCTGGGTTGGGGTCAGTCTGGGTTGGGGGTCAGGTCTGGGATTGGGGTTAAGTCTGGGGTTGGGGTCAGGTCTGGGGTTGGGGTCAGGTCTGGGTTGGGGTCAGGTTTAGAGTTGGGATCAGGTCTGCGGTTGGGATCAGGTCTGGGGTTGGGGTCAGGTCTGGGGTTGGGATCAGGTCTGGGGTTGGGGTCAGGTCTGGGGTTGGGGTCAGGTCTGGGCTGGGGGTCAGTTCTGGGTTGGGGTCAGGTCTGGGGTTGGGGTCAGGTCTGGGTTGGGGGTCAGGTCTGGGGTTGGGGGTTGGGTCTGGGTTGGGGTCAGGTCGGGTTGGGGGTCAGGTCTGGGTTGGGGGTCAGGTCTGGGTTGGGGTCAGGTCTGGGTTGGGATCAGGTCTGGGTTGGGGGTCAGGTCTGGATTGGGGTCAGTCTGGTTTGGGGGTCAGGTCTGGGTTGAGGTCAGCTCTGGGGTTGGGGTCAGGTCTGGGTTGGGGGTCAGGTTTGGGTTGGGCTCAGGTCTGGGTTGGGGTCAGGTATGGGTTGGGATCAGGTCTGGGGTTGGGGTCAGGTCTGGACTGGGATCAGGTCTGGGGTTGGGGATCAGGTCTGGGTTGGGGAGCAGGTCTGGGGTTGAGTGGCAGGTCTGGGTTGTGGGGGCAGGTCTGGGTTGTGGGGGTCAGGTCTAGGTGGGGGATCAGGTCTAGGTTGGGGGTCAGGTCTGGGATTGGGGGTCAGGACTGGGTTTGGGGTCACGACTGGTTTGGTGTCTGGTCTGGGTTGGGGGGTCATGTCTGGGCTGGGGGCATCAGGTCTCAACTGGGGATCAGGTCTAGGTTGAGGGGAAAGTTTGGGTTGTGGGGCAGGTTTGGGTTAATGAGAGGTGGGTTCTGAAAGCAGAGGGGAGTGGACAGCTGTGGAGCTCCCAGAAGATGGGGGAAGGTGGGGAGAACAGTTCTGGGCTTTCAAGGGAGGTCGGGGTGGGTACAGCTGCACAGTGTCTTTGGGTTCCTGGGATTCCTAGGAATTCTGGGGTCTAGAATTCAGAGGCCCAGGGCGGGGTTAGGCCTGGAGTTCGGGGGTGGGAGTCGGGTCTGCGGTTCCGAGGTGGAGGTGTCGTGCTCACCGGGGACTGGGTCAGTGGCTCCCATCGCGCCCCCGTCCTCACTGGCGCCGCCCAGCGTTCTGCGGTTGCCCAGAGCAACGTGCTGGGGCGGCCCCGCGCATTGTGCACCCCCCGGGCGCCGGCGGCTGGCTCGGGGTGTGGGGCTGCGCGGACGGCGGGGGACGCGGGGGGCCCAGGGGCGCGGGGGGCGGTGGCACTCGGGGGCCTCGGGCTTTGACGGGCAGCAGTCGGCGGCGTTGGGGCCGGGCTCGGGTTGGGGTCCGGGTTGGGGTCCGGGTCCAGGTCCCAGGCAGCTCTCGGAGCAGGCGCGGCTGCGGGGTCCGGGGCGCGGGACGGTGCGCGCCATGGTGCCTACGGGGGAGGGCCTGGCTGTAGCCCCAGGTCACATGCTGCGGCCCCCGCGCCCCGCTGTGGGGGTCACACTCAATTCCCCACCAGGTCACAAAGACCCGCGGGTCACACCCTGCCCCTCCCTCTCAGCCCCCCAGCCTTGCCGGGCCTTCTTGCCCTTCCCCGAGGCTCTCACGCCGCCCTCTCTCCCTGGGCTGAGCCCCCACGCGAGGCTGGAGGGGCGGGTGAGGATGCAGCGGGCGCTGGGCTTCTCCGGGGCTGCATGCCGGGGGTCCTGGCGGTTGGGGGCAATGGGGTGATCGCAGCAGCGCCCCCCTCCCGTGGCGGAACCTGGGAGGCTTTGTTATCTGTAGAGCCACTCGTGGGGTCCCACACAGCTGCCTACCCCGGGGCGTTCTGAGCCCACCTAGGTCCACACAGCCTGTGTCCTTGGCCCCCCCCTCCCCCGGATCAGATCACCACCTCATCAGCTTCGGTCTGATCTGGCACCTTGGAGTGGGAGTTGGGAAGACACACACCCCCATCAGGACCCTGACTCATGGGACCTTTCCAAAACCTAGATGTCATCTTTGTTGTTTATTTTTTGCCTAGAGGAAGCTCAGGGAGCTGATTTATTTGGTTTTAAATCAACTTTATTTTGCATTTACCTTCCCAAGATACCCCAAAAGGGAGGTTCTGGCCAGACTCTGAAGGGGCTGGTGGGGGACTGAAGTGGGGTGAGTAGCGCTTCCCCTGGCTGGGGTGGTTTCTTTCCAGCTGCCTCCCTCTTCCCCCAGGAAAGCCTCTGGGCTTGCCACTAGCCCTCCAGTACTGGCCTCTAGGGGTTACACAAATCAGCCTGTCTCCACCCGCCCTTCCTACTTGTCACTTCAGATACCTTCAGACCTTGGGTGAGCCGACCCTGCCAAGACCCTACATTGAATAGCCACAGCCACGTCTACAAGTCAGCGTTTATTGCTCAAGCGTGTTAAACAAAAATGTAGATAGAAAGAGACAGTTCTTTTAAACCCATCTGTCCAGATTTGTTAAGCTCTCTAAGAAAGTGTGAGCCAGTAAAACTCCCCAGGTGCCTCATTCTGGCTCTGAAACTCTCTGGTCTGCCCCCAAGAAGACATCGGCCTGCCCCGTGCGGTCCCTGCGGCTCCCACCCCATTCCCAGGAGCAGACCCCAACTGGCCCCTGGCCTTGGAGCTGACAGAGGCAGGGGTGTCCTGCAGACGGGGTGGGGTCTGCACCGGGTGCCTGTGACAGCAGCCTCTCCTCTCCCACCGTGGTGCTTGTTTGGGATGTGGCCAAGGTGTTTGCCGGTCCCTGACTCTGTCCTTCCGGGCCCAAGACAGCAAAGAGGGCCTGGCCTGCCTCCTCTCCGAGCAGCTGGGGAGGTATCTGGCCTGCATTCCCCTTGATTGGTTGAAAATAATGATCCTACTTGTCATGAACACCATGAAGGTGCCTTGGCAGCCAGAGTCACCTGTTCAGCAGTGAGAACCCCGGGAGGGTCTACAGGATGCCCCATCCAGCTGTGTCTCCCGGGCCGCAGAATGCATCTCCAGCCCTTCCCAGCAGCCCATGGGGGACCTGTCAGTATAACCCTCGGCAGTAAAGAGGAAATGTTCCCCTCTTCTTGATGCTGCTATCCTCTCAGACCAGAAAGGAAGAAACAAACCGCTGTGATGTGCGACCTTGTGAAGGAAAACACCTGCTGGAAAGTAATTAACCAAATAGCAGCACTCCCAGTTTCACAGCTGCCCCAACTCACTGCAGATCTACTGCCGGGTCAGCTGGGAGGAAGCAGGTGCCCTCAGGGGGATGAGGAGACAGCAGGGAAACCCACTCCTGGCCATGGCATTACTCGAAGTCAGTGTTATTCTCACACCCAACGGTCCCCGAAGCCTGGCAGGTTAGCAGTGACCAGCTGGGCTGTACCCTAAGACCCCAGAACAGCAGAGACGGAGAAGACCACTGCCCTGGGCCTTATCAGTGAGGATGAAGACCAAGCACCTGCTAGAAGGTAGAGGGCCGGGCGAACCTGGGAGGGTTCCCGGGCTCCGGCCTGGTTTGTTCTGCATTTTGAGTAATGGGAGCAAACACAGGAGGGAGGGGCTCAGCTTCCCCTGTCACTGGGGCCAGGGAGACACTCTCCAACCCGTTTACAAAGCCTTAGACTCGTCCGCACCCCCAAGAACACTGCCTCTCACAGCAGCGGCCGCGTGGCACTCCAAGCTGGGCATGAATGCACCTGGGACAGGGCCAGCCAGTGTGGAGGTGGATCCCGGCATGACGGGGTCTAAGTGGGAAGACAGGGCGGGCAAGCCAGTGTGGGTTTCACCTGGGAGAGCGGAGGCAGCCTGTGTCCCTTGCCCCTGGGCTCTGGAGGAGCGGCCCCCGAGGCTTTCCAGCCAGGACAGCAGCGCCCAGCCTTGCTCTCACTGTCCAGGAAGCGCTGCTCGGCAGGCTGAGCCTGGGGCAGGTGCACCTCGCAGGGAAGTGGGTAAGGTCCCACCAGGCTGACTGAGCGCCTGGGATAGACCAAGAGTGGAGGGAGGAAGCTGGGTCAGAGTGGGCAGGAGACTCGGAGACCACAGTCGGAGAGTCCACTCCAGCCCAAGCTACAAGAGAGGCAGGCTGGGGCCTGCTTAGGGGGGCTCTCAGAGACTGAGCCAGGGCCCTTCCTTGGCCTGGGAAGCTGCGGCCACGCTCCTGCTATTAGGACATGGGAGCCGTTTGGAACCGACTGATCTGAGGCACAAAATAGCCAACGTTGGCCTATTTTAAAATTAAACTACCCTAGGAATTGAAAACCCCACCTGCAGCCTGGTCTGCCCTCACACAAGGGAAAGGGAGGTGTTAGAAGCAGCAATTCAGGACAATTAGGGGCTCTGCATTTCTGCGCTCGGGGCCAGGCTGGGCACAGCTGCCCAGTTCCCCGTCTGAGGGTCACTGGGCCATTTGCACCACGACGGCTCTCCAGGCCTTCTCCTTGTCAAACTCCTTCAGGGGGCTCCTGGACACCTGCTACAAGACAGAGACAGGAGAGGCGTTACTTCACAAGGGCCACCTGTGCATCGGGAAGGCGGACACACCCCTTGGCCACAGCAGGGAGCAGCAGCGAGCATTCTCTTAATTTCAGAAATTTTCTTTGGCCGGGTGCGGTGGCTCAAGCCTGTAATCCCAGCACTTTGGGAGGCTGAGGCAGGTGGATCACGAGGTCAAGAGATCGAGACCATCCTGGTTAACATGGTGAAACCCCGTCTCTACTAAAGATACAAAAAATCAGCTGGGCATGGTGGCAAGTGCCTGTAATCCCAGTTACTCAGGAGGCTGAGGCAGGAGAATTGCTCGAACCCAGGAGGCGGAGGTTGCGGTGAGCCGAGATTGCGCCATTGCACTCCAGCCTGGGTAACAGGAGCGAAACTCCGTCTCAAAAAAAAAAAAAAAAAGTTTTCTTTGAATATGAAGGAAGGGCAGAAATAACCCCAGGGTCTCTAGGTAAAGAGATAAAGGCCTTTACTCCATCACTACCCAGGAAACGCCTGCGTCCCCGCACATGTGGTCTCTATGGAGCCTGGGGTAGCACAGCCCTTCACTTGGACCTTTGCCCTGGCTCTGGGGGTCTGGGAGACTGCCCAAGGGTGGGCATGTGCCTGATGGCTGAGGAAGAAGACACTAGAGGCAGAGGTGACCAGATGCCTCCAGGCCCAAGGAGAACAGTGCCAGCCTCAGCCACCCACCCTGAGCCCCGGACACTCACTCACCCTGAGCCCCAGCCGCCCACCCTGAGCCCCTGCTGCCCACTCTAAGCCCCAGATGCCCACCCTGAGCCCTGGCCGCCCACCCTGAGCCCCAGATACCTACCCTGAGCCCCAGCCGCTCACCCTGAGCCCCTGCTGCCCACCCTGAGCTCCAGATACCCAACCTGAGCCTCTGCTGCCCACCCTGAACCCCAGATACCCACCCTGAGCCCTGGCCACCCACCCTGAGCCCCAGATACCCACCCTGAGGCCCAGATACCCACCCTGAGCCACGGCTGCCCACCCTGAGCCCCAGATACCCACTCTGAGCCCCAGATACCCACCCTGAATCCCGGCCGCCCACCCTGAGCCCCTGGGACCAGCAGTTTTGGGATCTGGGGGGAGCACCTCCCACGTCCGACTCTGGGCCTTGCTGGTTAGGAAAGAAACCCAGACGATTCTCATTTCAGGCCCAGAGACTGCCATGCCAGCAGGGAGACTGACCACAGCCAGGAAAAATGGCAGCAAAGCAGCTGCACCAAGGAGGTAGGTGAAGGGAACAGCAGTGTGGAGGGTGGAGGATGGGGGTGAAGGGTCGGCTGAGAAATGAGCCAAAGGCAAGAGGGCGTCCGAGGGCGTCCTCCAGGACTTAGAGGGCATTGGAGGCTCCGCACTGAGGATCTGAGGCCGGTGGTGTGTCGAGCACAGGAGGGCAGGGTGTGTGGGGCAAGAGCAGTGGCCAGTCCACCCAGGGTGGCCTGGAAGTGGGCGAGGACCCAGAACCCACTGAGTGGCTGCCCAGGTGCTTGGGCAGCAAGCTGACAGTCCTCGAGGTCACTGTACCTGAGGGTCTGTGGGCAGGTTTGCCTGGGAGAGCACCGCCAGGCCCCGCAGCTCAGGGAGAAGACGCTGAGCCTCTGCCTTTCAGGTATGGGGGCATCAGGACTCGGGGGTAGCGGGACAGTAGGCAGGGCCCAGGGGAACAGCATTCAGGAGGTGACAGCCAGAAGTTGTTGACACCCCAGCTTTACGGAGCCCCACATGCCAGGCTGGGTGGGCACTGCCTTCCCTGTAGAACCGGCATCCCCAGGAGAGGCCAGGGAAGGAAGCTTTAGTGACCTGTGGGAGTCCCCACAAAGTCCTCTCTGTGTCTCGAAGAGCAAATCTGAAAGCATTAGTCCCAGGACATTTCCCAGGGATGGGTCTGGGTTTACCTAGGCTTGGTGTTTGTTTGTCTTTTTAAAAGGCATTTTACGGCCCAGCAAGGTGGCTCACACCCGTAGTCCCAGCGCTGTGGGAGGCCGAGGCTGGCAAGACCACCTGAGGTCAGGAGTTCGAGACCAGCCTGACCAACATGGCAAAACCCTCTTTCTACTGAAAACACAAAAATTAGCCGGGCATGGCGGCACATGCCTGTAATCCCAGCTACTTGGGAGGCTGAGGCAGGAGAATCACTTGAACCCAGAGGCAGAGGTTGCAGTGAGCCAAAATCGTGCCACTGCATAGAGCGAGATTCCGTCTCAAAGAAAAAAAAAGAGACATTTCTTCAGGGTTTTTCTGGAATGTTTTTAAAAATACAAAGTGGCATGATGAATCTTTGAGGGTCATGCTGCGTGGCCCTCACCAGGATAGGTACCCCTGCCACTGGCCACTCACCTCCCCAGCAGGTGCTCCTGTGGGCCACTCACCTCCCCAGAGCCCCCTAACCCTGCAGGCCACTCACTTCTCTGGCTGGGCACTCCTGTGGGTCACTCAACCCCACCCCCTGCCGTGTGCCCCCACCACAGGCCACTCACCTCCCCAGCCAGGCGTTCCTGTGGGCAGGTCGGGGTGTCCCAGGATGCACCCTGCAGCCTTGTGCTGACCTTGAAGAGCACACACTGGATGGCGGTGCCCGTGTTGAGGCCAGCCTGCAGCAGGAGCACCAGCAGCAGCAGCAGTAGGAGCACGTCGTAGGAAGGCTGCAGGCAGGAGGAGGCATGAGCAGGAGGCCCAACCACCCTCCAGCCCAGGAGACCAAAGCGGCCTTCACAAAGAGCCAAGCCAGAATCGGAGCCCAGTAACTCAAACTGTCACTATTTCAACAACCTGATAATAATCATTCTAGCCCAGTTAATGAGGTCGATTCTGCTTTACATTCCACTGGTTTGTGTTCGACAGAAAGGAATGCAAGTGACCTGTGGACAGTGCTGGCTGCTGGTGGTCAAGTCTCTCCACCCCTCCTGCTCCAACACTGCAAGGCTCAGTCCCAGAGCCAGCAAGACTATCTTCAGGAGGTAGAAGCGCTGTGGCTTCCCGTTCCAGGTCAGCAGGACACTGAGCAGAGGAGAGAGGGGGCAGCAGTCCCGGGGGGATGGAGACACAGCTTCACCCCGAGCCCCAGCTGCTGGGAAGGAAGGGGCAGGAGGCAGCCAGGTGAGCTCAGCAGGGAAGAGGACGGAGGGGGCGACCACAGAGCATCCAAAACCCTCTGTGACCAGTGAACAGCTTTCCTGCATTGGCCCAGGAAGAACAAATGCTAACACACAAAAGAGCCCAACATCTATCCGGAATCACTGCTAGGAAAAATAAGACAAACAGAATGAACAGCTCTTCTCAAGTTAATATAAAACTTTTTTTTTGAGATGGATTTTTGCTCTTGTTGCCCAGGCTGGAGTACAACAGCATGATCTCTGCTCACTGCAACCTCCACCTCCCGGGTTCAAGTGATTCTCCTGCCTCAGCCTCCCCAGTAGCTGGAATTACAGGTATGCACCACCACACCTAGCTAATTTTTGCATTTTTAGTGGAGACGGAGTTTCACCATGCTGGCCAGGCTGGTCTCGAACTCCTGACCTCAGGTTAGCCACCTGCTTCAGCCTCTCAAAGTGCTGGGATTACAGGCATGACCCACTGCTCCTGGCCTGGATTTTAAGTCATTATTAGAAAGTCTGGTAGTTGTGTTTCCATTTGGAGTTTACCCTGGAGGATGGCAGAGGCATGGGCCCCATGTGGCCTTTGCTCTTCAGTTCTTGAGACACCATCTATTGCAAAGACCATGCTTTCCTCAGTCTCAAAAAAAAGTCCAGAGCCATTAAGGAAAATACCAACTTAACTATATTTTTAAAAAACTTTCACATAACAAAAATCACAACAAGCAGAATGAGAAACAGCTGCCAGGCTGAGACCGCCGTCTGTGTCCTCGATCACAAATGGAGCTGGTCTCCCAGGCACCAGGGTTAGCGGAAAATGGGCAGCAGACATGAGCAGAGTCCACTGAGAAAGCCATGCAAATGCCCTCGTGCTTTCTAAGAGGCCCTGGTCATCACCCACATGGAGACAGACGTGCTCCCACCTCTGTTACCAAACCTCGGCATCACACCCTTGGTGGGGGCTGTGGAAAAGTGAGCCATTGGCAGGAGGGAAGGTGGATGGCCTCCATTGAGGAGTTCATTGGGATTTAACAACGTTATAGCTGCACCTACCCTCTGCCCGGCAGTCTCTCTCCTAGCTGGATATCCTAAAGATTCGCTGCACAGATTCAAAAGGAAGCTGCCTGCAGGTTGTTCACAGAGGAGTCATTTAAGTAGCAGACAGTGGGAAATAACTCAGTTTCCATCGCTAGGGACTGGCTAGGTGACCAAGCTACCTACGTGCAAGAGCGATGAAGGAATTCAGAAGAGCTCTGATCTCCTTGGGTATCAAGGAAATGCCAGGATAAATTATTATGTTTGAAAAAAACAAGCAAGGGGCTGGCCACAGTGACAGGAGCCTCTCATCCCTGCATTTTGGGAGACCAAGGTGGGCAGATTGCTTGAGCCCAGGAATTTAACACCAGCCTGGGCAACAGAGGGAGAAAAAATACAATACGTAAATAAATAATTACAAAGCAAGGTACATGGTTGGGCACAGTGACTCACACCTGTAATCCCAGCACTTTGGGAGGCCGAGGAAGGCGGATCACTTCAGGTCAGGAGTTCGAGACTGGCCTGGCCAACATAGTGAGGCCCTGTCGCTACTAAAAATACAAAAATTAGCCAGGCATGATGGCGCACGCCTGTAATCCAAGCTGCTCTGGAGGCTGAGGCAGGAGAATTACTTGAACCCAGGAGGCAGAGGCTGCAGTGAGCCAAGATTATGCCATTGCACTCCAGCCTGGGTGACAGAGTGAGACTGTCTTTAAAAAAAAAAAAAGCAAGGCACGAATAGTGATTACAGCATGCAAGCCATTTTGTAAGAAAGGAAAGAAAATAATCTTGTGGTTGCCTACAAAAGGAGCAGGTCAGTCAGCGAAGAGACCACAGCTTCTCTGAGCACAGCGTTTATATAGTTTGGCTTTTGAACCACATATTTTATATATTCAAAAAAATACAATTTTAAAAAGAAAAAAAGCACCAGGCCCTAAAGCAGAATACAACCAGAGACCATTAAACATAACTGAGCATCAGGTCCACACCACAACCCCACACAAAAAACAGCCTACTCCGCCAGCATGTGGCCGCCCCCTCCTAGCAGAACACCCGCTGAAGGTGAAAGGGAGGCCTCAGGCCCGCTCAAGAGATGGCCCGGGGTGGTAATCTTGTCTTTTGTAATTGTGAACAGTTACATGCATATTGTAAGATAAAATGAAGTAGCAGATATATTACACGTCACAGGAAACAAAATATTTAGAGTGTGTGTGGTCGGGGAAGCAAACAAGAGCAGTCAAGAAAAAAACCCAGGCCAGGCAGGGGGGGCCATGCCTGTAACCCCAGCACTGTGGGAGGCCGAGGCGGGCACGTCACAAGGTCAGGAGTCCGAGACCAGCTTGACCAACATGGTGAAACCCTGTCTCTGCTAAAAATACAAAAATTAGGCTGGGCGTAGTGGCTCACGCCTGTAATTCCAGCACTGTGGGAGGCCGAGGTGGGCAGATCACGAGGTCAGGAGTTGGAAACCAGCCTGGCCAACATGGCAACACCCTATCTCTACTAAAAATACCAAAAAATAATTAGCCAGGTGTGGTGGCATGTGCCTGTCATCTCAGCTACTCAGGAGGCTGAGGCAAGAGAATCGCTTGAACCCAGGAGGCGGACGTTTCTGCGAGCAGAGATTGTGCCACTGCACTCCAGCCTGGGAGACAGAGTGAGACTCCATCTCAAAAAAAAGAGAAAAAGAAAGAAAAAAGCCTAAATGTTAAATTTGAATTGGAAATAACAATATAAATGCATGATCCTTGAAAATACATGTATTTCCCAACCGTGTCCACGAAAGGGCTCTGAAGCAGCGGCACCGTGGAAGGACAGAGGACACGGAGGCCCAGATCTTGATTCCGCATGCCTTTCCCAGCCAAAGGGACCAGAGCCGTTCTGGGGCAGGCACAGGATGTGGCAGGCCTGTGCCATCTTCAGAGTCAGCCAGAGAACGTGGGCCGTAACAGGAAGACGCCACGCTGGAAGGGGCTACCTCTAGCCATATCTGGGCCAACCTGAGCATCAAGAGTGACAGTTGCAACACTCTAAAAATCACAAGAACCCCACGAGTCCTCTGGCTGCTCAGAGAAAAGGAAGGCTGCTCTTTCTGCAGTGAGCCAGCCTGCACACCAAGGAGGAGTGGGAGATCCCACACAACCTTCTCTTCACCCGCCATGTGAAACAAACAATTCAGGCAAGGCCGTGTCATCCATGCTAGCCCACAGGGCACACAGGTGGTGAAAACAAGTGTTGGTACAGTGCCGGGGCCTGAGGCCAAGGACCCCTTACGCCTGCGGAGGGACCTGGGCTCCCAGGGGCACTCACAGCTGCTACAGGGAGGGAATAGGACCACTGGTAGGACCACCTGCCCGACAGTCAGCCTGCACTGCAAAGAGTCAGTGTCACAGGGAGAGTGGGCGCCACCTAGATGGAAGAGACGGAAGGGACACTGGAGCCAAGGCACGGTACCCATGGCACCCTGCCCTTAAACCTCCGCACGGAAGCATCTTCTGAGTATGCGTCACTTTACGGAAACTGAATGTATACTGGATGTGAAGAGATATCCTGAAATCATTTCAGCCCACTTAGGTGTGACAGTGGCATTGTGGATGTGTAGGAGGCTGTTCTTTAGAAATGCTGAAGTTCTTAAGAGTGAAGGCACTTTGGGAGGCCGAGGCGGGCGGATCACGAGGTCAGGAGATTGAGACCATCCTGGCTAACATGGTGAAACCCCATCTCTACTAAAATTACAAAAAATTAGCCGGGTGTGGTGGGGTGCACCTGTATTCCCAGCTACTCAGAAGGCTGAGGCAGGAGAAGCACTTGAAATGGCAGGCAGAGGTTGCAGGTGGAGATTGCAGTGAGCCGAGATAGCGCCACTGCACTCCAACCTGGACGACAGAGCAAGCCTCGGTCTCAAAAAAAAAAAAAAAAATGAGTGCTCCTCGGTCAAAGACTAACGCTTTCAGACTTCCAAAAATGGACACACAGGCAGTGACTCCATTCCCCCATCAGGCAGTAACTCTATCCATCCCTGAGGCAGTGACTCCATCCATCCATCAGGCAGTGAGTCCATCCATCCATCAATCAGGCAGTGATTCCATCCCCCATCAGCACACACATGTTGACCTGAGAAACCGCTTGAGTACAGGTCTTCTAACGATTTGGGTGGCAATACCACTTATATTGGGGGGAAAAAATACCAGGTATCTAAGAAATACATCTAGCTACACATGCCTGAGCCTTATAAGTGCTGCTGGAGATAAGTTCATACTGGGCCAACTGAAAGTCATGGGACTTTGAATTCTCCTTAAATTCACCCATGAACTCAATGTAGTTTTGATGAAAATCCAAAAAGTGTGTCTCATAAACTCAGGACAGATTCTAAAATGAGCTCAGGGGACTTAGAGGGTCCCAGGTCCCTGTGAAGCAGGCGGTGGCCTCAGATCCAGGGCAGAATCGAGGCCCCAAGGCCCTGGGGCCAGGCTGGCGGCAGGAACGACGTCACTACTGCCCGGGAACAGCAGAGGAGGCCTCGCCTGGAGCTGCCCCTGAAGTGGTCGCTCCCAGAGTCCTTCGTAAAGCCAGCAAGGGCCAGGCCAGGGCACCACATGTGTAGAGGGCTCTGAAATAAAATACAACTCACTTTTATGGCTGGCGGGTAATCTTTAAACATCTCCACGATTCTCATGACGCTAAACGACAGATATCCAGAGGCTGTGAACAGCAGCGGAGATGTAAGGCTGCTTATGGCAATCAGCACCTCCACCTGGAAAAGGAGCGCACAGGGTACGTGGCCAGGACTCAATGGGGCGTGGCCGGAGCCTGGGAGCCCAGGGCTTGGGGGCGTGGCCGGAGCGTGGGAGCCCGGGACAGGAGGCGTGGCCGGGAGCCTGGGAGCCCAGGACAAGGGTGTGGCTAGTGCTCAGGGGGCGTGACCAGGAACCTGGGAGCCCAGCGCAGGGGTGTGACCATGGCTCAGGGGGCGTGGCCGGGAACCTGGGAGCCCAGGGTGCGGGGCGTGGCCATGGCTCAGTGGGGCGTGGCCGGGCACTTCCGGGCTTAGTTCCAAGCTGGTTCCCTGCGTGGCTCCCTCTGAAACCTCGGCCTTTTCTTCTTTCTTTTTATTTTAGACGGAATTTCGCTCTTGTTATCCAGGCTGCAGAATAATGGCACGATCTTGGCTCACTGCAACCTCTGCCTCCCTGGTTCAAGCGATTCTCCTGCCTCAGCCTCCCAAGTAGCTGAGATTACAGGCCTGAGCCACTGCATCTGGCCTGCCTTTTCATTCAAAGCAAAATGCCACGAGTTTTTAAATATTTACCATCCAGGTGCAGTGGCTTATGCCTGTAATCCAACCACTTTGGGAGGCCAAGGCAGGTGGATCATCTGAGGTCAGGAGTTCAAGACCAGCCTAGCCAACATGGTAAAACTCCATCTCTACTAAAAATACAAAAACTAGTTATGCGTGGTGGTGCATGCCTCTAGTCCCAGCTACTTGGGAGGCTGAGGCAAGAGAATCGCTTGAACCTGGGAGGCGAAGGTTGCAATGAGTCAAGATCCCATCACTGCACTCCAGCCTGGGCATCAGAGCAAGACTCTGTCTCAAACAAAAACAAGAAACAAAAAACATTTACCTACAATTCTCCACTCTTGAAAAAATAGCCCTTCCGCATGGGTCACCTCCTTCACTGCTCTAAAGTCTGTCCTTTTAACACATCCCAAACTTTTCCATTTGACCCATCAAGTCTCAGAAATAGCCTTCACTCATGCCAACTGCAGCAGTCACCTTGCAGAGCACTCAGGCTGCACATTTTGGCAGCAGTCATTAACAATGGGCCAGTCTGAGGAGGCACAGATGACGCTCAGGCACCAATCTCCCTCTGTGGCTTGGGCACAGAGACCACTCCCAATATCTAAGCTGCCTTGCTCACGTCGGCCTGTCCCTGGGAACAGTCCTCACTGGGCTGGAGGTGGGCAGCCTATGCCCCCCACAACCCCTGCCCTCCTCAGCCCACAGGTCCTGCAGCTGGGTCACTTCGGTCTCAGGCTGGAGCCTGGTTATATGGCCCCGAGGGAGGGCTGGGCCAGGCCCTGGCCCCGCTCAGTGGGTCTCTGGCACTCAGGGGTTAGGATTTCACCTACCAGACACTTGCTAGGACACTCTGCTGTCACATGACTGGCAATGGCACTTGGAAAGCACTAAAAGAAAAGGAAAAGGAAAGATTTTGGAGGAAATAGTCCAAGAAGTCAAATTCCAAACATGTGCTCTCCTACAGGTTACCCCTCCATCCAGGCTGCCTGGCTGGTGCAGAGCTCGGGGGGTCAGTCCCCAAGGGTACAGCTAGGGCAGGGATGGGTCCACAGGGAAGCAGGGGTGGCCTCTCAGAGGCTTTGTATGCTCTTTGTTCCTCAACCATTGGTTTAAAATTTAAGCCCGTAGAAAAGCTGCAAGAGCAGTGCAGTGGGTGTCTGAGGCCCCTTGACACTCACATCTGTGCTCTCTCCAGCTCTCCCAGATTGGCTGACACCTGAACCCCTGAGTGTGCTGGCTGAACTGAGGGCACACGCCCAAAGCAGTGCCACACCCGAGAGACTGCACATGGGTCTGATACCATCCATGCCCACCCAGATTCTTCCGATTGTCCTCATCATGTTCTTTTACTTTTTGTTCTTTTTTTTTTTTTTTTTTTTTTTTTTTTTTGAGATGGAGGCTGGTATGCGGTGGCGCAGTCTTGGCTCACTGCAACCTCTACCTCGTAGGTTCAAGCCTCATGAGTAGCTGGGATTACAGGTGTCTGCCACCACTCCCGGCTAATTTTTGTATTTTTAGTAGAGACAGGGTTTCACCTTTTTGGCCAGGCTAGTGTTGAACTCCTGACCTCAGGTGATCCGCCCACCTTGGCCTGCCAAAGTGCTGGATTACAGGCTTGAGCCACAATGCCCAGCCCTGACCATGTTCTTTCTAGAGCTGTTTGTTTGTTCCTGATCCAGAATCAGTCAGCCATTGTGCTCAGAGTCTCCCCGTGGGTCTCTGTTAATCCAGGAGTCCCTTAGCCTGTCTCCTCCATTACCTGGACGCTTCTGGGGAGTGCAGCCCGTCAGCTGCAGTAAGACCTCGTGTGGGATAGGATTTCTTCATGATGAGCCCTGGGGAGTCACGGAGGAGACTCTGCAGTGCCCCAAGGTGTGGACTGCCTCTTCCTGGTTCCTCTGTTGAATGGGTACCTCTTCCTTTTTATAACCAAGAAATGCCCTTTTCCCACTTATTATGAGGAGCCTGCTTTAGTTCCACACAATGTGGGCAGAGGGAAGTGCGGAGGGAGGACAGATCCTCTCCATGCTCTTCATCCTGCTGAAGGTGGGGGCTGCATCAGCCAGGAGCTCCAGTGAGAGGCAGAGCAGGACAGAGACGGGCTCCAAGCAGCACCTGATGGGCATGGGGTGGCGCTCAGGGAAGACAGAGAGAGCAGAGTGGCCCCTGGAGCAGGATGGGTCTGCAGGATGGGGGTGGGGGGGCGTGTGGTGAGGGTTGACTGCAGGGACAGGGAAGGGCATAGGGCGAGTGCCTCCATTCTCAACTTTTCGGAGGCACTTGCTCTCTGTCCTCCCTCAGCTTCAGGATGTAACCCCTGCAGTTCAGAGCCCGGGATTGGGTGTAATTCTTGCATTCCAGAGCCTGGGATTTGGTATGCACACCTGCAGGCATCATTCTCTCTGTAACAGACCTGCCTGGGTGGGCACCCACATGAGTTCTCTGTCTCGGTAGCCAGCCCTGGTCCTGCCCCTTCTGGGGATGTGGCTCCATCCCAGCTCAGGTCTGCCTGGGTCTCTTTCCCACTCTGAGTCTTCTGTGGTTCACTAGGTTGGGCACTGGTGCCCTGGGGACATTGCTCTGAGACCACTCGTCCCCACAGGGAGCTGTGCCACAGCTGCCACCAATGGGATGTGTCCACCCCAGCCATATGGCTCCCAGGCAGGTGTGGGCCTTCTCGGCAGCTTCAGGAAGAGACCCCCTACTGCCTGGGAGGAGCCCATAGCTGAAGCCAGGTGCTCACCATGCCCACTCATGTATATAAGAGAAAGGGGCAAAATGTAGAAAGCCACTTGGCATGGGACAAACCAGGGGCTGGCTGTCAACACCAGTGTGCAGGCCACTACTCAGCAAGTTGCCGAGGACTGCTCAGGGTCTGTGTCTGGAGGCAGGTGGGCGGTGGCTCTGGGGTGTGACACAGGCTGGAGGGAATATGGGGTGTGGAGGGGTTGCTCTAGATTCACTGTTCTGAGGGAACACACCTATAATCCCAGCACTTTGGGAGGCTGAAGCAGGCAGATCGTTCGAGGTCAGGAGTTCAAGACCAGCCTGACCAACAAGGCAAAACCCCGTCTCTACTAAAAATACAAAAAAATTAGCTGGGCATGGCAGTCCCTGCCTGTAATCCCAGCTACTTGGGAGTCTGAGGCAGGAGAATTGCTTGAACCTGGGGGGCAGAGGTTATAGTGAGGTGAGATCACGCCACTTCACTCCAGCCTGGGTGACACAGTGAGATTCCATCTCAAAACAAAATAAATACACACAATAAAATAAATAAAATAGTGCCCGTGTATTATACATGAGGCACGTGCCAGGTGCCATGTGACACATCTGCTACAGAAACATTTAATATAAAGCAATAATAGAAATATTCTGCATTGCATAAAACACATACTGTAATATAAATGCATTATATATTGGAAAATCATGTAGAATAGGTTGGGAACGGTGGCTCATGCCTGTAATCCCAGCTCTTTGGGAAGCCAAGGAGGGTGGATCACAAGGTTAAGAGTTCAAGACCAGCCTGGCCAACATGGTGAAACCCCGTCTCTACTAAAAATACAAAAAAAAAAAAAAAAAAAGCCAGGTGTGGTGGTGTGCGCCTATAGTCCCAGCTACTCAGGAGGCTGAGGCAGGAGAATTGCGTGAAGCCAGGAGGCGGAGGTTGCAGTGAGCCGAGACCACAACACTGCATTCAGGCCTGGGCGACAGAGCAAGACTCCATTTCAAAGAAAAGAAAAGAAAATTAAAACAATAAACATTTATGGCCCCTATTCACCTGTTAAAAAAATTAGAATAATAAAAATAATTGGTATTTTTTCAAGAAGAATAATATAAAATCATCATACAAACTAACATAAAAGCAGCTAATACTTCGACTCATCTAATCCTTAACTCCCCAATTCTTCTGAACTGGGGCCGGCGAGGACTGTCCTCGGTGCCTCCCTGTCTAAGTGCACCAAGACTGAGCTCAGGGCCCAGCCACGTCGGATCTGAGTGGCATGACTCAGATCAGTGGCAGGCAGGCCAGAGGGGGTACTCACCGCCACTAGGATCCAAAAGAACGTCACCGAGAGGTGCGGGCCGGAGACCGAGTCATCCACATTCAGAGCAATGATCCCTCCAAGTACAGCAGAGATGCCTGCTATCACCTCAACCACCTGGATGGGACAGACAGCATCGGCTCACTGGGGCCGCCCGGAGGAAGTGGAGACACCCCCAGATCCCCAAATGCACCCTGCAGACACAGACCCCCAGGAGCAGGGTGCGGTGGGCTGGCCCCGGATCTAACGGTGGAGGAACCCACCTGGATGGACCCCCTAGCCTCACCTGGCCCAGCCCACTTCTGCCCTCAGCTGCAGCTTCTCACATCCCATCCTTCCTGGAGTGAAACAGTCAAAGGGGTGTTTACCCCACAGCTGCTTTTGTCTACAGAAACTGAGGGTATTGACCTGACAGTGGTGAGGGCAGAAAAACAAGACCCTCAGACCCCCCTCCCTGTGCCCACAGTGAGACACTGAACCACGTGCAGGCTCAGGAAAACAGGGCTGGGCATGAGCATCTTCCCACAGGACACACCACCAGTGCCATGTGCCACACTGGAAATCACCACCTCTTTCCATGGCGACCGTCCACCCACTTGAATGTTACCACTCATCTTCCAGAAATTTCTGCATAATCTGTCCCTTAATTAGCACATACTTACAAGTGGGTATAAATAGGAGGCAGTGCTGGGGCGCACTGCCCATAGGGGAGCCCTGCCCATCAGGGTGCACTGCCAGTGGGAGAGCCCAGCCCATCGGGGTACACTACCCATGGAGGAGCCCTGCCCCATTGGGGAGCCCTGCCCATGGAGGAGCCCTGTCCGTGGAGGAGCCTGTCCGTGGAGGAGTCCTGCCTGTGGAGGAGCCTGTCTGTGGAGGAGCCCTGCCCATGGAGGAGCCCTGTCCATTGGGGAGCCCTGTCCGTGGGGGAGCCCTGTCTGTGGAGGAGTCCTGCCTATGGAGGAGCCCTGCCTGTGGAGGAGCCTGTCTGTGGAGGAGCCTGTCCGTGGAGGAGCCTGTCTGTGGAGGAGCCCTGTCTGTGGAGGAGCCTGTCCGTGGAGGAGCCTGTCTGTGGAGGAGCCCTGTCTGTGGAGGAGCCTGTCCGTGGAGGAGCCCTGTCCGTGGAGGAGCCTGTCCGTGGAGGAGCCTGTCCGTGGAGGAGCCCTGTCTGTGGAGGAGCCTGTCTGTGGAGGAGGCCTGTCCGTGGAGGATCCGTCTGTGGAGGAGCCCTGCCTGTGGAGGAGCCTGTCCATGGAGGAGCCTGTCTGTGGAGGAGCCTGTCCGTGGAGGAGCCTGTCCGTGGAGGAGCCCTGTCTGTGGAGGAGCCCTGCCTGTGGAGGAGCCTGTCTGTGGAGGAGCCCTGCCTGTGGAGGAGCCTGTCCATGGAGGAGCCTGTCTGTGGAGGAGCCTGTCTGTGGAGGAGCCTGTCTGTGGAGGAGGCCTGTCCATGGAGGAGCCCTGCCCATCAGGGATCTCTGCCCATGGGGGTGCACTGCCCGTGGGAGAACCCTACTCTGCCAGGAGCAGCACCTCTGTTGCCACTGCAATACAAGCTGCCATCTGTCACCAGCAGCTTACCCCTGAATTCTTTCCTGGACCAAGCCAAGAACCCTCCTGGCCTAAGCCCTGGCTGTGGGCTCATCCGCTCTGCACCATCAGGGCTGCAACCAGCACTGCCAGACCCAGGGAGGGCTGGGAAAGAAACAAATGCCCAAAAACCTGCTCCCATGAAAAATAGCTGTGAGACTCAGACACAGAGCTGTGACCGGCAGGAAAGCCAGGCACAAGGAGGCCTGGCCAGCAGGTGCATGGGGGCCAGAGGGGACATGGGAATGAGGGGGCCCAGCCAGCAGGTGTGTGGGGTCCAGAGGGGACATGGGAACGAGGGGGCCCGGCCAGCAGGTGCGTGGGGTCCAGAGGGGACATGGGAACGAGGGGGCCCGGCCAGCAGGTGCGTGGGTGCCAAAGGGGACCTGGGCAGCCCCTAAAAATATAGGCCTCACATACGGAAGGCCCAAAACTCCAGATGAACAAATAAAATTGAATTCCTAGCCAGGCGTGGCAGCTCACGCCTGCAATCCCAACACTTTGGGAAGCTGAGGTGGATGGATCAAGAGCTCAGAAGTTTGAGACCAGCCTGGCCAACATGGTGAAACTCTGCCTCTACTAAACATACAAAAGTTAGCCCAGTGTGGTGACACATGCCTGTCATCCCAGCTACTTGGGAGGCTGAGACAGGACAATCTCTTGAACTAGGGAGACAGAGATTGCAGTGAGCCCAGATTATGCCACTGCACTCCAGCCTGGGCAACAGAGTTAGACTCCACCTCAAAAAACATAAATAAATAAAAAATGAAGCTGAATTTCCACCTGACAGAGACCATGGCCACCAAAAAGAAAACTCCAGAAACAGACCCCCTACAAAGGGCAGCACCTTGGCCTCTGCAGATGGTGGAGAGATGTGCTGCAGATGTGCCGGGGAGAACTGTCACTTAGGAATGCAGACCCAGCCCAACTGGAGAAGCCTATTGAAAACCAGCTTCTAAAGAATGAAGCAGAATGGGGCCAGGCGTGGTGGCTCACACCTGTAATCCTGGGAGGTAGAGGTTGCAGTGAGCCGAGATCATACCTCTGCACTTCAGCCTGGGTGACAGAGCAAGACTCTATCTCAAAAAAAAAAAAAGAAGAAGAAAAAGCAGAATAGAAATGGACCCCAAGGGAAGATGAAATGCTAAATAAGAGGAAGCAGAGGCGCTGGGAAATGAACACGGAGCGAGTCGAGCGCACAGGGGGCCATCCCATTGTTGGAGGAAAAAAGCTAAGTGTCACTAAATCTCACAAGCTAGACAACAAGGCCAAGGTGGCAGCAAGTGGGACAGACACCATGTGACGCGTCTATCAAGGAGCATGTTACAATAGGAAGGACAACTGCTGAAGAAATTTCCCATTCAAAATTCGAGGGAAAAGGAAGGAAAGAGCCTCAAGCAATTCAAAAGAAGATGGGGAAGTGGGGGCGGGGGGAAGGCATAGGGAAAACAGAAAACTAAAGAGGTGGTGAAAATAAATACACATTTATCAGTAACAACTCTCAAAGGAAATGGGCTACATTCGAAAGGCTAAGGAGAGAGAATGACATAAGATAAAGAACAAAATACAGTTACGGGCTGTTTATGAGAACTATACTAAAGTACAAAGCAAGAAAAGTTGAAACTAAAAAGGAGAAAGAGGCCGGGCCTGGCGGTTCACACCTGTAATCCTAGCACTTTGGAAGGTCTGAGTGGGTGGATCACTTGAGGTCAGGAGTTCAAGACCAGCCTGGCCATCGTGGTGAAACCCCATCTGTACTAAAAATACAAAAATTAGCCAGGCGTGGTGCCGGGCACCTGTAATTCCAGCTACTTGAGAGACTGAGGCAGGGAATTGCTTGAACCCAGGAGGCAGAGGTGGCAGTGAGCCAAGATCACGCTGCTGCACCCCAGCCCAGCTGACGGAGTGAGACTCATCTCAAAAAAAATAAAATAAAATAATTCCTCGGGCAAAACAGTATGGACACACCTACAGGGATCACAAACTCCCCCCTAAAAATTACAGAACATCCGCACCTTTCAGGATAAGGTACGTAGTTACTAACGATACTAACGAAAGACTAGAGTCTCCGAAGATGAGGCTCACGTGGTTGTGCACGGTCTAAGCTGCCAACTCAGCCATCTTGGAATAGAACCGTAACGTTTAATCTGGCCTCAGCCACTCCCAACAAAGTAAGAGAGAAGAGAAAGAAAACGGAAGTTTTTCTTACTGAATAAGATTTCAGGACCCGAGCAGGAAATGGCACTTCTTCCAAAATGTTGACGCTGTCAGCCATGGAGACCTAGGAAGACACAGAACTGTCACCCGAGGTGCACAGGCATGGGGACTTGGCACTGTTGCTGGCATTCGGCCGCCAGGCGCCATGGGCCAGGTCAGCCTGCGGTGTAGACAGGAGACCACCTCGGAGTCACCCGTGGATCTTTGGGCTCTAGGAAACACTCACACACATTGTCCTTGCATATGGAAATAGGTATTTGCACAATCCCTGTTGACAGGTATTTTTAGCAGATGTGGTGTCTCCTGGTGACACCCCTCAGGACAAGCACCTGACCAAGTCAGGTTTAGGGGAATGGGGAGGGGGAGGGGGCAGCATCCGTCCTCACCTCCCTGCGGCCAATGGCCACCAACCCCTCACCCTTCTCCAGACCCCTTCCTGGCCCCGGTCTCTGAGACCCAGAAGAGCAGGGTCTCACAGGACCGCCTCGGAGCAGCTCAGATCAGCCCTCCGAGGGTGATGCTGAGATCACCCCGCGGGTGGGGGCATGACTGTCACCCCCTGGGACGACGCCCCTGCATCCCCTGCCCCTCAGGGTCAGAAGCTGCACCCACCTTCTTCTTCTTGCAGTACTCCTCGCTGGACCGTGCCGAGATGATCACTGTGGCTGCCATGAGCAGCTCCAGCAGGAGCAGCAGGATGAGGTTGAAGTTGATCTGGGGAGGGGACACGCTTCAGCACCGGGCTGCCTTTCTCATAAGACCTCGCCTCACCTGCACAGGGCCACCTCACAGGCAGGCTGCGCAGGGCTCTTGGCTGCCACGGGCTCCAGTTTGCTGTCCAGGGCCAGCTGGGAGGCGCTCTGGACCACACGCTACCTCTGTCTCACATGGGTTTTTTGGGTCTTTTGGTTTTTAAAACCACTCTGAGTTCAAAGGCTGTACATAAACAGGCCAGGGCTGGATTTGGCCTTGGGCTCTGGTCTACGGACCCCAATCTAAACATTCCTTGTTCCACAGAAGCCTGCACAGGAATGTTTATAGCAGCTTCATGCAAGATGGTCAAACACTGAAAACAGATTTTTTTGTAGGGTAATGAAACTACTGTGGGCCCTGACTCTACTGGTAGTGAAATAAATTTACACGTGTGTTAATAGTCATAGAACCACACATTTTAAAAAGTCAATGTAGCTGTCTGACTTTTTTTTTTTTTTGAGACTGAGTTTTGCTCTTGTTGCCCAGGCTGGAGTGCAATGCTGTGATACTGACTCACTGCAACCTCTGCCTCCCAGGTTCAAGCAATTCTCCTGCCTCAGCCTCCGAAGGAGCTGGGATTACAGGCATGTACCACCACACCCAGCTAATTTTGTATTTTTAGTAGAGATGAGGTTTCTCCATGTTGGTCAGGCTGGTCTCAAAATCCTGACCTCAAGTGACATGCCCACCTCGGCCTCCCAAAGTGCTGGGACTACAGGTGTGAGCCACTGCGCCCAGCCGAGATTTTTCTCTTTTGGCATCATAATTTAAATGACATTTTCTCTCTTTTTTCATTTTTTGTTTGTTTGTTTGTTTGTTTTTGAGACAGCGTCTTGCTCTGTCTTCCAGGCTGGAGTGCATTGGCGCCATCTTGGCTCCCCAAACCTCCTCCTCCCGCATTTTCCCATTTTTATTTAGAGATACATAAAGCAACTGTCTTACAATCTGCATCACAGATTGGATGAAACATGGTACTATATTACCGTCAATTTTTAAGGACCATTGCAAAAGACATTGTTTACCGGTAGAATCACAAGACTCAGTAAAGATGATTCTTTTCTTTAGAAGCATAAATAAAATTCTCAACATTTGTCAGACTCAAGAGCTATGACTAACATTTGCCACCTACTTCCAACTCAACAAGCGACATTTACTGACACATGGATTGGGGTGTGGAGCTGTGGGTGTCAGGTCAGCGGGAAGCTCGCGTGAACTCACGTTTATTGCAGATGGGTTCAGGACTAGTTTGCATCCAAACCAAATTAAACACGTAGTGGTCACAGCAAATGTGGAAACAAACAGTATCTGAAAGTTGGGAATCTGAAAAACAAGGCAGAAGGGTTTTCCTTCTCTGAATAAAGAAATAAAACCAACCGAAAACCACACTTCAGGCCATTAACTAAAAATCATAATGGTTAGGCCACAGTGGTGGGGAGCCCAGAGTGCTCAGCCTTGTCTCCTCTCCGTGCGGCAAAGGCTGGGCAGGGCAGGAGCTCCACCGTCGGCCGTGCGTGTGCACACACATACAGGCACACGTGGGGACCCTGTCTGTTGGCCCCGCCGGCTTTCTTCCTGGCAGAGGCTGGGTGCGGGCTGGACTCACCACATTGGCGTTCCTCCTGGAGACAGTGAAGCTCACAATTGCCGAGGGGATACACTGGAAAGAAAGTAGAACCCGGTGAGCCCGCGAAATACCCTCACACTTGCGCTTCCAGAAGGATTCAAATCATATTCGCAAAACCATGTTGCCAGTCCATGCAACACAGGGGGTTGACTTGACTAGAAGGCCCCCAGGTACTTCTGAGATTTAATTTTTGGTTGAGATGGGGGTCTCACTCTGTTGCCCACGCTGCTCTGGAACTTGGGGCTCAAGCGATCCATTCACCTCGGCTCCCAAAGCCCCAGGAGGAGTCAAACTCAAGATTACAGGCGTCAGCCGCTGTGCCCAACCCCCAGGTACTTCCAAATAATTTATTCTGAAAGAAATGTTTCTTTTTCTGATGTGCTAAAAGATATTTGTTAACGAAGGCTCTTCTAGCTGGAGAAGATTTGAAGTCCAGAACGTAACTCACGAAGGCCCAAAACCTGGTCTTTGCTGAAAATTATCCAAAAAGGAAAAAGTATCAGCCACGAGTGGTGGCTCACACCTCTAGTCACAACTACTCAGGAGGCCGAGCCGGAAGGATCTCTTGAGCCCAAGAGTTCAAGGCTGCAGTGAGCTGTGATTACACCCTGCACTCCAGCCTCAGGGATAAAGTGAGAACTTTTCTCAAAGAAAGGAAAGAAAGAGGAGGCTAGTCTGAGATGGATGGATCACGAGGTCCGGAGTCCAAGACCAGCCTGGCTAACATAGTGAAGCTGGGTGTGGTGGCACATGCCTGTAATCCTAGCTACTCAGGAGGCTGAAGCAGGAGAATCACTTGAACCTGGGAGGCAGAGGTTGCAGTGAGCCAAGACTGAACCATTGCACTCCAACCTGGTCGACAGAGCGAGACTGTCTCGAAAGAAGGAAGGAAAAAAAGAAAGAAGGAAGAAAGAAAGAAAGAGAGAAAGAAAGTCCAGGCTTTTGCCAGCCCAGGCTGCATGGAGCCTCGGGTCCCTGCAGAGAGGCCTGTCCTGCAGCCTGGCTCTGTGTGCACTCAGGTTGAAAGAAAGAAAGAAAGAAAGAGAAAGGGAGAGAGAGAGAGAGAGAGAGAGAGAGAGAGAAGGAAGGAGGAAGGAAGGAAAGAAAGAAAAGAAAGAAAGAAAGAAAGAAAGAAAGAAAGAAAAAAGAGAAAGAAAGAAAGGGAAAGAGAGAGAGAAAAAAAGGGGCGAAGGAAGAAGGAATCTACGTGTGAAGGAAGCAGAAAGGAGTCCCAGAGCCCCTCAGCCTTCTTGTCCCCACAGAGCCACACCAAGGCTAGGAGTCCAGGGCCAGGGAGGGAGGTGGGGAAGTCGGGGCAGGGAGGTGGAGATGTCAGGCCACCCCAGGCCTGTGGGCCTTGCTCCCGAAGCCATAGGACCCTGGGCCCTGAGGCGGGGACGCAGGCAGGAGTGTCTGAGGGGCTGAGCACAGGAGTGCTGGGTGAGGAGGCAGAAGAAGCCCCGTCGGGGCCTGAGCGAGGGGCAGAGCTGGGGCCACGACAGCCAGGCTCAGTTCAGCACCCACTCAGGTGCCACAAGGGCCCATGGTAGAGAAGAAAGGCCAGGGGCAGGGCCGGAGCTGGACAGGGGCAGGCACTTGTCCTTGTCTGGCCGCTGCTGAGGCTGAAGGGGCACAGCCCATTGGGACAAGGGTAGTTCCCCCAGTGAGGACAAAGGCCACAGAGAATCTTCCAGGGAGGGCAGCAGAGTGGGATGGGTCACCTGCCCCAAAGAGCTTTGTTCTAAGAGAGCAGAGACCCAGGACAGTAGGGGGTGGGGTGTCCACTTTGTTTTTAAGACATTTGGGGGCTGCTGCTGGGGACAGTCACCAACAGGGGACTTACAGGAAGGGCAGGGGTCAGAGACCCGGCAGGGGTTGGGAAGTGAGAGGAGGGTGAGTGCTCCCGGCTGGCTGAAGCGGAGAGGACACAGGGTAGTGGCTTGTGGGCCAGAGCCCAGGGGTCCGCCAGCACTGTGCTCTAGCCCCTGGGACACCTGGGAGGCCATGGCCACGGGGCTTACAGAGGACCAGGGGTCAACAGTTGTCTCTCCTCCCCTGCTCAGAGGATCAGTGGGACCCCCCACCAGCCTTGGCAGTGGATAAGGTTCTAGAAACACAGCACGAAGGGTGTGGGGCGCAGGTCTCAGTCCCCTGAGGGCAGACGCTGCCTGCTCTGGTAGGACACAGCTGTAGCCGCTGAATCAACATGTAATTCCCTGCACAGGCATCTGCAGATCAAGGCTCAGACCCGCTCCATCAGTAATTCTCAAAGGTGATGAATCCTACATGAAACTAAAGGCATATGAAGAGTTTTTTGTTTGTCTTTTTTTTTTTTTTCCCCCGAGATGGAGTTTCACTCTTGTCACCCAGGCAGGAGTGAGGTGGCGTGATCTCGGTTCACTGCAACCTCTGCCTCCCAGGTTGAAGCCATCCTCCTGCCTCAGCCTCCTGAGTAGCTGGGATTACAGGCACCCACCACCATGCCTGGCCAATTTTTGTATTTTTAGTAGAGACTGGGTTTCTCCATGTTGGTCAGGCCAGTCTTGAACTGCTGACCTCAAGTGATCTGCCCCCTCGGCCTCTCAGAGTGCTGGCATTACAGGTGTGAGCCACCGTGCCAGGTGCATATGAAGAGATTTTAATGAGAAACAGGTGACAGAAACCCACACCTCTCAAAGCAAAGAAACGAGCACGTGCCGGCGAGCTCAGGCACCGGCAGAGGCCTAGAGGAAGCTGCTTACAGAGCCTGCAGCACAGCGCAAGTAATCCATCTCGGCAGGGAACACGTTCCCCAGGTACAGCGAAAACCCCGAGGTCACGAGGAGGCAGCTCTGCAAGACAGCAACAGGAGCTCAGGTTACAACCGCACATCCCAGGCTGGGCACTGACCCTTCACCTTCCGTTTCACCGTCTGTGTGCATTGGTGACTCACCCACACCCCACATCACCAACCGCACCCGCACCCGGGGCCTGTCCAACCTGGGCTCCTCCCTGTAGGGCAGGTGCAGTCACACCGCAGCCCAGGCAATGGACCAGCCTCCCCCAGCCATGTCGGAGCACGGACCCTCACACTGTTATTTGGAGGAGAGAAGGAGGAGGATATGCCACTATTTAGAGGAAGGGACAGCACCTCTTCCCCCAAAATGCCCCCTCCCCAACATGTTGTGTGTGCAGAGTCTTCCGGATCCCACCCAGGTCCAGACGTGAGACTGGAAAACAACTGCCCATCCCCTTCCCTTTGCAGAATCTAATTTCTAGATCTGGAAAAATGATCCCTCCAGTCAGGGGCTCCAGGCCCAGGGGGTCCCAAGCAATGAGGGCCCTGCAGGAGGCAGGGGTAGGGGCTCTCTTTGACATGCACAGCACCGTAGGATGAGACTGAGGGGGAGTCAGTGTCAAAGGGCACTGGGACCTGGAGTCCTGGCAGAGGAAGCGCTGTCTGGGGCAGAGGGGACCTGGCTGGGGCAGGGGAAGGGCTGCCACCAAGTCTAGGGCACTGGGCTGAAGCAGGCAGAGCTGGAGATGGCAGCCAGCACTCAGGAGCTGCCTCTGTCCCCAGCTCCAAGGGGTACGCCTGTCTTGGTGGACATGCTCAGGGCATGAGAGGTGGGCAGGACCACTGTGGGTGCTACAGGGGCAAGCGGCGCAGGCTGGGGTGCAGGGAGGAGAGAGACTGAGGCCTGGATCTCATTCTCAGCCCAGGCTGCACAGAGCCTGGGGTCACTGCAGAGAAGCCTGTCCTGCGGCCTGGCTCTGCGCACACTCAGGCCGAAGTGGCTCCTCCAATCATCTCTGTGCCCACAGCTGTGCGGATAATGACCAGGACCCCAGGGAACTCCCTCAGACAGTTGGCACTGCCTGTCTGCCCCAGGCCTGCGCCCTCATCCACCACCTCCCTCCCAGCCGCCCAGGGGGAGGCCCTCCAGGCTCTCTCGGTTAGGCCTGACCTGAGAGCCTGAGGTGCCTCCTCCCACCTTTGCAGGTGACCCCTCAGAGGACCCTTGGCCCCCAGAGCTGAGGGTCATGGAAGCTCCCTGGGCCCATGTGTGGCCCTGGGACTGTCCATGGCCTAGTGGGACTCAGCTGCAGCCAGGAGCAGCTCAGGGCTGGCACAACAGACACCCATAAATTAATAAAAATCACTCTGAAAACACAAGCAAAACAAGCTCATCAGCATCCAAGAGTTCTGCAGCAGCAGGGTGAGCCTGAGAGCTGCTCTTTCTGTCCATCTGGGCCTCCAGGGTGCTGCGGTCCATCACCGGAGGGACCAGGGGCTCGTGGCCCTCCAAGGACTTGGCATGGAGCTACTCACCCCCATCAACACGGAGAAGACCCACATCTTGTGGTTGAAGCAGGGGGGCAGTCTCTTCGACAGCTGCAGGTCGTTTGCCTTCGCATCCGGGGCGTATGTGGTGGGATCCTGCCGGCCCCGCTCCAGCGTGGGCATCCGGTCATAGGCCAGCTCCTCTCTGAATGGCTCCTGGGTCATGGCACTCAGGAACACCACCGCTGTGCTGAGTGTACAGCCACCTGTCACCAGTTCTTTATCTGGAATAAAATTATCACTGTTTTTGGCCACTCTGAAAAAGCTTCGATAAGTTGTTTCCAAAAAATATTTTTTAACAAAAGAAATATTGTTCATACTGAAGTGCTATAAACTTGAAGAATAAAATGAGCACTTGAAGCCGGGCGCAGTGGCTCACGCCTGTAATCCCAGCAGTTTGGGAGGCTGAGGCAGGCGGATCACCTGAGGTCAGGAGTTCGAGACCAGCCTGACCAATATGGTGAAACCCCGTCTTAAATATATATATATATATATATATATATATATATATATATACACACACACACACATAATATATATATAAATCTTTTTTAAAAAGAAAATGAGCACTTGACTCTAAAAGTGAAAAATATCAAACCTGAATGGTCTGGGTTCAGGGCAAGATTCTAGGCTTTAAAAGCTTCATTGATCCGTCTGGGCGCTCCAGGTGTAATACCTGACAACTTCCATTGGCAGCTTTGTCCATGAACCCCTGACTCCAAGGACTCAGCACATTAAACTTCTCCAATTGGTAGCTAAACAAGAGATTGCAAAATATGCCTCTACTTAACAGTTTAATGTCTGAGCACTTACCTCCCCTGCCACGGCTGCTGGGAGCACTGGTCTCTGGGCGAGGGACTACCAGCAAGAACTATTCACAGAGGAAACAAAAGCTCAGCAAACTTGCACTGAAGGCAGGAGAAGGAGAGCTGCCTCCTGAATATCAATGAGGGGAGGAATCGGGTGGATCCTAGATGCATTTCGCCTTGGTTGTGTAAACTACTGCCTCGGAGCTGTCAGAACCTACCTAGAAAAGGAAGGGCCTGCCTGTGCCACCTGCTACAGCACTCGGGGATCTCAGAAGAAAGAAGTGTTCTGAAGAATAGAATCCCACCGAGTACACATTCCAAGCGGGCCCTGTTTCTCAAAAGTAACTACTTACTCAAAGGTCTTAGATAGCTTTTCAAGCAGCCTTTTTCTATCACCTTCACAAGGTCACAGAAGCATCCGCACACTCGGCAGGGCTGTGTGGCCCTTGGGCCGCTCCGGATTTGGCCCTGTGGTTTTTGTGGGCAGCTCAGATGGCTGGTAGGCCTGGTCCCGCTGCCCCCTTTATCTCTGCTCACCAAGCAGAGAAAAAACACAGCAATGTGCGTCGCCCAGAGACACTGGCAGCCTGACAGTTACAGCGACAGATTCTTTGTGCACATTGTAAAAAGGCTCAAACCAAAGTGTCTGAAAAACCAGTTCCTTAAAGCATGAACCCACATTAAAACTTGAGCAAAGTCCTCAGGTTTCAGACCACGGGATGTTCTGTTGTCTTAGTTTCAATCAAGCAAGAAGGATGAGAAATAATTTTCACAAACTATAATCTATGAAGTCAAGAACTATTTTGAATGGATTGAGAAACCTCCCAAACTTCTTTACTATCTTTTAAAGTGATAAATGGGATTAGCGGGAATTGGTCCAATTGGATTGAACCCTCCTGTGTTTCTTTTTGTTTGAAAAAAAATGTTAATCGGATTTCAACATTTTTTCTTTCAAAAGTTGTTCTCCATTAAGAAATACAAACAAGCTGCCCCGAACCAGAGGTTGCAGAGCAAACCCCTCGGCTTCCCAGATCATAAGTCATCACTTGAGAAATATGCTCCCACATTTCTGCTGACAACACTAGTTTCTAGAAGAGGGTCTGTTATTTCATACACTCTTCCAACAAATTCTTGCTCCTAAAATGCCCTTCCTCCCTCTGCCTGCTGATGTCCCATCATCCGTAAACATTCAACAGACATTTCCGTGGTGGACAGAGAAGTGGACGTCCTTCCTACAGGCTGTTTACATTCAGGATAAACAAATCAGTGTGTTATACAGCGACATGGTTTGCCTGTGTCCCCACCCAAATCTCATCTTGAATTGTAATTCCCATAATCTCCACGTGTCGTGGGAGGGACCTGGTGAAAGGTAATTGAATCATGGGGGTGGTTACCCCCATGCTGCTGTTTTCCTGATAGTGAGTTCTCACGAGATCTGATGGTCTTATAAGGGGCTTTTCCCCCTTTTGCTTGGGACTTCTCCTTCCTGCCATCTTGTGAAGAAGGACATGTTTGCTTCCCCTTCCACCATGACTGTAAGTTTCCTGAGGCCTCCTCAGCCCTGTGGAACTGTGAGTCAATTAAACCTCTTTCCTTTGTAAACACTTGACTCTGAAATTACCCAGTCTTGGGTATGTCCTTATAGCAGCATGAGAACAGACTAATACATACAGTGACATGTGACTTCCTCAATGAGGGAAGAGAAGTCAGGGGAGAGAAATGAGGGACTGTTTGCAGGGGCCAGGGCAGGCCTCAGTGAGAAGGAGGCAGGGAGGGGAGGCTGACAGAGCTGGAGCAAAGACCACAGGTGGGGGAGGGCAGGAGAGGACCACACAAGGCGGGTGCAGGTGGGACATCAGGGTGCCAGCATCTGTGGGTGTGGAGACGAATCTGCTTTGACTCTGATTATATATATATTTCCCCCAGGCTGGAGTGCAGTGGTGCAATCTCGGCTCACTGTAACCACGGCCTCTCCAGTTCAAGTGATTCTCCTGCCTCAGGCTCCTGAGTAGCTGGAATTACAGGAGCATGCCACCACACTCAGCTAATTTTTGTATTTTTAGTAGAGATGGGATTTTGCCATGTTGGCCAAGCTGGTCTCCAACTCCTGACCTCATGTGATCCACCCACCTTGGCCTCACAAACTGTAAAGATATTTTTAAAATAGAGAAAAATCAATGAAATCAAGAGGTGATTTTTTTAAAAAGAAATAAAATTGATAAGTATAGACTGCTCAACGAAAATGAGAGTGATGAGATAAATTGCCTATGTCAAGAATGAAGGATGGCTCATCATTATGGACCATATAGACATTAAAAAAATAAAAAGGATATATTCTGAACAACTTTATGTCAATAATCTCACATCCAATAATTGATCACATTCCTTAAAAGACAGAAATTACCAAAGTTACTCAACATTACCTTGATCACTTGACTAGCCTCTAGCTGATGCAGAAGTGAATTTCTCATTAAAAACCTTCCCACAAAGAAAACTTGAAGCCCAGATAGGTTCCCTGGTGAATACTACCACAATTTCAGTGAATAAGTTACACCATCCTACTCCCAGGTCACTGCAGGCCCAGCTTAAACCAACCCCAAACCAGCCAGAGACAGAAAATGGGAGGTGGGCCACAGAGCAATCTGCTTCTCCAGCACCATCCCCAACCCTGCACAAAACCTGAGATGCTGAGTCGGGCAGTACACAAAAGGAGAACGAATCGTGACAGGGTTTTCCCAGGAGAGCAAAGCAATGTAATTCCCTCTACAGGCTGAAATTAAAAACTACAGGATCATTTGAATAGATGCAGAAAAGCGTTGCAGAAAATTTCGCACCCTCTCATGAGAACTCTTGAGAAAATAGGACAAGAGGGAACTTCCTCAAGTTGATAAAGAACACCAACAACTCTTTCCCTGCCACCCAGTCCTGCGGAGGCGGAGACTTGGGTGCATTCAAAACTGGGCTTCACCCGTGAACCACCAAAGTGGCGGAAGAAGGCAGTGCTGCTGGAGGTGTAGTGGACGTTAATGCTGCTTTACAAGAAGAGCTAAAGACCACCCACGATGGCCTAGCACGTGGAGTTCCCGGAGCGGCCAAAGCCTTAGACAAGCGCCGAGCCCAATTGTGACGAGCCTACGGATGGATGTCAAGTTGGTGGAGGCCCTTTGTGCTGAACACCAAATCAACCTAATTAAGGTTGATGACCGCAAGAAACTAGGGGACTGGGCAGGCGTCTGTGAAACTGACAGAGGGGGGAAACCCCCGAAGTGGTTGGTTGCAGTTGCATAGTAGTTAAGGACTATGGGAAGGAGTCTCAGACCAAGGATGTCAGGGAAGTGTATTGTACTTCATATGCAAGAAATGAAGAAATAGGCTGGATGTGGTGGCTCATGCCTGTAATCCGAGCACTTAGGAGGCCAAGGCAGGTGGATCATCTGAGGTTGGGAGTTCAAGACCAGCCTGACCAACATGGTAAAACCACGTCTTAAAAAAAGAAAAAAATATAAAAATAGAAAATTAAAAAATGAAGAAACAAATCTTTGGCTCACAAAAGAAAAAAAAGAACACCAACAAAAAACGACTCCTAACATCACTCTGGGCAGTGAAATATACACTTTTCCCTGAGGTGTGGGTGGCGTGGAGGGGGACCCGCCTGAAGCCCCGCCCACCACGTGAGCCTCTCCCCCCTACACTGGAAGCCCCGCCCACCCAGGATGACATCATTCCCACCAGGCATCTCGCCTCATCAAGCGCTGCTAGGCGTCAACCGCTGACCTCTAACCGCTACGGGTCGCGGCTAGCTCCTGCGCCGACCCCCAAGGCGCATGCGCAGGCGCAACGACCCCCCCCTCCTCCATTGGTCGCCGGCGGCGGGAGCGGTGAGGACGCGTGCGGGCGGCGGCTGAGGCAGCCGAAGCCGGGCGCGGGTCATGCTGAGCCTCGCGGCCAAGCTGGTGGCCTTCTTCTGGAGGACGGCCGACGCCCCCAGAGAGGAAGCTGGGCAAAAGGAGCCCGAGCTCGCGGAAGGTGCCTCGCGGGAAGGGCGGGGCGGCCGGGTGGGAGGCGGGTCCCGGGCCCTCGTGTATGGGCCACGAGGGAGCTGCCACCAGAGGTGTTTGAGTGCAGCGGGGGAGGCGGGAGACGCTGGGCGCGGCCTTCCCCGGACTCCGCTCGTTCCCCTCTGGCCTTTGGAGGCGTCCAGCTCCACCAGCACCACACCGCTCTGGGCTCTCGTTCTCCGTGAGGTCTCACGGATGTCACCAGGCCCTCTTTGTGTTTTGATGCCGACCAGCTGCCGAGGCGTGTTTCCGTGTCTGTCTTCCCTGCCCGCAGCGTCACCGGCAGTTGTGTGCCTGGAAAGCCCCGAAAAACATTGCCCGGCCGACTTCGGCCTGTCCGTTCAAAACGCGCGGCGCACACGTACGCCTTTTCTTTGCCTTGTTTTCAAGCCCGTCTTCCTAAAGCCCGGGATTCGATGGGATTCCTGCCTGGTTGATTCCTGCTGAGGCTCCCCCCACCCAACATGGAGCCTCACTCTGCTGCCCAGGCTGGAGTGCCCTGGCACGAGCTTGGCTCATTGCAACCTCCACCTCCCGGGTTCAAGCGAGTCTCCTGCCTCAGCCTCCCAAGTATCTGGGACTACAGGTGCCAAACACCATGCCTGGTTAATTTTTGTATTTTTAGTAGAGACGGGGTTTCACCATGTTGGTCAGGCTTGTGTCGAACTCCGTCTCAGGTGATCACCCGCCTTGGCCTCCCAAAGTGCAGGGATTACAGGCGTGAGCCACCAAGCATGGCCTTTCTCGAGGTTCTGATGGCTTCTCCCGATGTTTCCTTTTGTGGGAATGGAATCCACAGTAGTGGGTCCCTAGTTGCCTTCTGTGAGAGCAGCCAGGAGCAGGCTTCAGGAGGGGAGCTTCCTGCTGCAGGCAGCATGTTAAGGGCCTCTGGATCCGTAGGGGCTGACGCTGTGTTACCTGGAGCACTTGCTTTGCAGATCTGGGTCTCATATGTAGAACACTCAGCGATAGCTGGAGCTCCAGCTCATGGCAGCGCTAAGATCCCATGCCAACCGTGGCTGGGAAGCTGCAGGAAAGGTGCGTTCAGGACTCAGGACTGTGGCTGCTGCAGTGGCCAGATGGCTGAGGGCATATGCTGCTCCTGGGCGAGACTTGCCTGCCCAGCCCTGAACCTCTTCCAGCACCATGTTTATTGAGATTCTTCAGTCTTCTGAGGCTGCTGCTGATGGCGATGAAAGAAGATAATCGATACTACTAGTAACCCAGATGCTGATATAAGTACAATTTACATAGCACTTAACCCATGTCAGCCACACAGAGGTCCATACATGCACGTGTGTTCTGGCAGCTCCCTTGGGTAGTGACAATAAGTCTGCATCTTACAGATGGCAACAGGCCCAGAGTAGTTAGGGACCTAGTCTAGGGTTCACCAACGGCAATAGAAGAGCTAGGAGTCAAACCCACTCAGTCTAGCTGTGGAGTCTGAGCTG